CCGGAAGCTCCCGAGGATGGACAGCCGGCACTTGGCCACTGAGCTCCTGGAGCAAACCGGACCTGCAGCAGGCGGATCAGTCAGGCGAGGGAGCTGGCAGGCACGAGGCATAGGTGGCGGGGCCGGTGGTGACCTCACACATGATTCAGTAACCCCAAATGTCAGGGGGCTCCAACTCGGAATCCAACCTCAAGAAGGAAAGCCACCGGTGGCTTGCAGCTGGCGTCCCGACAAGACAGGCTGGGTGAAAAGTCGCTACGTTGGAGATAACTCGTCCACAAAAGTGGGGCGGGAGGGGATGGGAGAAACCCCAGGGTGGGCCAGCGAGCAGTTCTGCTACAGCTTCGGGCGAAAACTGATCTGGGACTGCGTGATGCTCCAAAAATCCGCCAGCCCCCAAAGCGCTTCAGTTTCCCCTCGACCACAGCCACATGGAGAATGAAATTAAATCCCATGGAAAGAGTTGGCTTTTTTTTTTAACATTATGCAATGTTTGGGTGAAAAGCGGGGGCAGGGATATCAGGGGAAAAGACAGGCATCTTTTTCCCAGAGTTTAGCAAAGCTATTTCGAGTTTTCATGACACATCTCCCCCCCCAATCCCGAACCCCCCCCCCCCTGCAGCTGCATGGAGAGTTCTGAGGCGTGAAGGCGGGCCCGGCTCTGTTATGTAACCCAGTTAGAGGAGGAAATTAGCGACTCCTGAATGAATTCGGTTACTGTGCTTGGGGCTTCTGGAAAGTTGGGAGCGACTGCCGTTCTATTTTGAGGTGAGCAAATCCATCATTTATAGATGGACTCACAAATACCACAGCGTTTCATGTCACCCTGAAAAGTTTCATAACAAAAACAGTTAAAGTACTTGGGGAGTTGGAACATTTCGTCTCGAAAGCTCATTAGCTCCGAGAGCGAGCAGGGCAGACCTTCTCCCGTGGCCAATTATTCAAAAATGCAAATACCCCAGATCAAATAAATATTCATCTTCCACCCACAACCGCCCGTCCCCCCTCCCCCCAGACTAGCAAAATAGTCTAGTAAACGACATAAAAAGGAATGTCTGTTTTGAAGAAGCCACGAGCAAAACCCAGCGCACTTGCAAGAACCAAGGATCACCCGGTCCTCCGGCGCCCCCTGGTGGTCCAGGGCACCCTGCAGCGGTACCCAACCAACCTCTCCTCGGGCGCCAGCAGGTCCCTCGACTTCAGTTGAGGACCACAGGTGTGGGACAGGGACAAAGAGGCTCTGAACGCACCTCTGAGTCCACGGCACCAGCACGGAGGGCGAGTGTCCCTCATCCAGGGCCACTGTTGACGGACACCCCCATTGGCAACCCTCATCCACCCCCACAAAGGCCAAGGAGAGGAAGCACCGTAGCACTGTCCTCCCGGGGTTCATCGATTTGCTCGAGCAGACACCAGTAACGTCTCCATAGTGAGACTTGCTGTGACTGCTTTTGGGATATCGAATACGTCACGGGGAGCTGGCCAGGCTCTGCCGAGCGGGCAGGATATTCTCAGCGGCTTGCCAGGCTCTCTCAGAGGGCTGGAAGAATCGAACCCGGGTCAGCCACATACAAGGCAAAACACCCTACCCGTTGTGCTATCAGGAGAGGAAACCAGCAAGCAATTAATTAGTAAGTTGCAAGTCACACAGTTGGCGGTGACAGGGACGCGTGCAGATGGGGACCCAATTTCTCCACCTGGAGGAGCTCCCACCGGCTCCCCAGGTTGGGGGCTCCCCTCTGCAGAGCCCACCCCAGGGGTGGCTCCCCACTTTGTCACAGGTCACCCCCCCCAATTCACTGACCTCTCAGACACCACCTGCAAACACCTGTTTTCCCTGAATCGGAAGGGACCGCATTTCTGACACCCTTCTCTTTAGCAAAAAAAAAAAAAAACCGGGTGGTGGCGGCAAAGCCATGAGGATAAACGGGAATCATCAAATGTGATTTCCGCTGCACAAGATCAGCACAACGACAGCCAACAGGACTTCAGTTAACGGTGAAATTCGGGCAAGTCCAGAATAAACAAAGTACAGAATTATACATAATGCATGAGGTTGGTTTGAATTTTTTTCTTAAATCATTTTAGCTGGGGAAAATTAAAAAAAAAAAACAGTTCCCGTTTCCGAGGCCATGAGATAAGCAGAAAAGCGGTGCGTGGAAGAGAGCTCCCTCCGTCCTGTCACCAGAAGTCGTGTTTCCGCACAAATCAAAATGCTCCCCGGAGGCGTACAGTACACAAGCTTTATTGGGCAACAGGAACGGGCCGCTGGCAGACAATGAAAGGAGAGACGCTGGGAAAGTGGGGGGCACGTGGGGGGGCCAGGGCCGGGGCTTCCTGGCTGCACTCGGCGCCAGGTCCCCCGTGGGCGTGGCCTGCCGTGGTTCTTGCTCAGGTGCAAACACACATCCCTGCTTCACAGCCAGCCTCGCACGCCACAACATAATCAGACACAGTTCGCTTTTTTTTTCTTTTTTCTTTTTGCAAATGCCACGGCCCCTTCTCCGTGCCCCGCTCCCCGCCCCAACACAATATTCACCGACAATGCCCAGCGCCATTAAACACTGCAACCCCCCCTCCCCGCATCCCACCCCAGCCCTGGCTGATGAAGAAGATGAAGCCCCCCCCAAAAAAGGCTGCTTTGGCGTGAGAAATGCTCCGAGTCATGAGGGATCATGAAAGCCCCTACACACACACACACACAAACACACGTGCGCGCACACACACACGCGTGCGCGCACACACACACACACACACACATACAAAACGGTGGGACACTTTACATTTCTGTTCCCAATCATAATAGATAACTATTTTTTTAACCCCCGAGATGAAACGGACACAATTCACGGAAATGTTTTCTTAAGAAAGAGATCAACCAAAAGCTTTACTTTTAAGAGAACGGGGGCTGGGAGGGGAGGTTTATAAATAAAATCTGTGTTATTTACAAAGTCCCTTGTGTATTTTGAAACTGAAAAGTAAGCTGGGAGAGACATCGGAAGCGACCTGGAAGCCGGGGAGATCTCGGGAGAGGGCTGAGATGGCATCTCATGACACACACACGTTCCAACACACCACAAAGGCCAAAGATGAAAAGGGTAACGGGTGTCCGCCTGAAAAAGGACGCGGCAGGAGGACAAAGGAGGTCGCATCTGAAATTTGGACAAAGGTCTGAAATCTGGGCCCCCCCAACTAAAAGACTTGGGGGGGACAGGTGGATGGATGGATGGATCCCGTATCCACCTCAGGGGAAAAGGAAAAAAAAAAAAAACAAGGTAAAAAGTCTGGAAGGGAGAAAGGGTCAGGTTAGGGGCACTGTCGTGTCGATCTGCAGTAAGCTTAAAATCCAAACTACATTCAGAAGTGTTGCCAGGAGACCTCCAGCAGAGGACAGACGGCGGACACGGGAAAAGCAGATGAGGAGAGCGCGGCCCGCACCGGAAGGAGCTCCGGACGGACGGACGGACGGACGCGGTCACGGGGCAGGCGGCTCCCAGCAGGTGCTCGGCGTCCGGCTTCAGGTGCTCCCGGGATGCACCCAGGCCCGTGTGCATGAGGAGGGGGGGCAGAGCGACGCCCCTCCCCCTGCCCTCACCCCCGCTGCCCTGCGCCCCACGCAGGCCTGCTCTCAGCAGCCCACCCGCCACTGTCAACGATGAGAAACGAACGGGTGGAGGGGCTGCGGGTCTGTGGTTGTTTTCTTAGAGAAAGGGAGGAAGGAAGGGGAGGAGGGGTGAGCGGGATCGACACCTCCCGCTGGCAAGCCACCCTCCGCGGGGTTGGCAGAGAGGAACCCCAAAGTGCTGACTCGGGCAGGAAGTGGGGGGTGGGCTTCGAGGAAGAGGCTTCAGGCAGGGCGGACCGTGTGTGCCTCGAAGCCTCTGACCCCACCCGGGCCGAGCGCGGGGTCACTGCCTGGCGCCAGCCCGGCCCTTCCAGACCAGGAATCGAGGGCGGGGGCCTGCTGCCCCACCCCACCCCATCCCACCCCATCCTGGGAGCCCCCCAGGTGCTCGTGCTGGGGTCCTTCCTGGGGGCAGCTTGGCTCGGGGTCTCCACTCCCCTCGTCCTGCCGTGCCCCGCCCCCCAGAACAAGCAGGGCCTCCAGGGGGCAAGGGAGGTGGGGACCCCTTCTCTCCTGTACCTTCCCCACCCGAGCCAAGAGGCACGGGGGTGGGGGTGAGTCAGAGCAGACTGCTGCTCTCTGGAGGGACCCCTGCAGGGTCCCGAGACAGGACCATGGCACGGCCTGCAAGGAGAGAGGGCAGCCCCCCACCCCATCTCTGGGAGAGGCCGGGCATGGCATGTCCAGCAGAGGCTGAGCTACCATCCCTGCCTGCCACAACTGCCCCCACAGCCTAGGGCCCCCCACACCCCCTGTGTCCCGGCCACGCCCCCCCCCTCGTCTCGGCTCGCAAGCACCTGCAGACTGCAGCCAAGACCACGCGCTCAGACACCCCCAGATCTCCCTGCGTGCTCGGGCGGGGGTGCCTGCCGCCCCTCACAGCCCCACAGTCTCCTTCTAGACCCCACTCCGGCTGCCCGCCACCCAGAGCTCCTCACACAGCTGCGGGAGGGGGGCGGGGGAGATGTTCCCCCCCCAACTTGCTCCCACCCAGAAACGCATTTCTGCAGCAGACACGAGCCCAGCCGGGCCCAAGCGCGTCATGCCGCTGCGTCTGGGCTGGGTGGGCCGCACGGCCCACGTCCTGCTCAGACCGGGAGCCCAGCTGCCCGCGCCCCGGAACCCGAGAGGAGGGCGAGTGTCGGGACTGAGAAAGGAAGAGGAACGACAACGGTCGACGGTCGCGGCGAGCCCGCCCCGCCTCGGAACCACGCGTGTGCATCACGGACGTGAGCGGGGCGCGCGGGACACACCTCCCGGTCAGCGCCGGGGACAGTCACCGGCTCACGCAGGAGCGCGGGCCCCGCCGTGTCCCTCCCGGGCCGGCCGGCGCGGAGAGGAACAGGAGTCAGAGCTGTCCACCCGGAGGGCGGTGGCGGCCCGGCTGCGGCCGCGCCTAGGACGTGAGCTTGGAGTAGCTGGGCGGGGAGAAGCGGCGGCGAAGGTACTTGAGCGCGTAGAGTGGGAGGCAGCTGACCAGCGTGATCACCGACACTTTCCACAGGAAGGACAGCGTGACGATGAAGTACATGTCTGCAAGAGGCGGGTGCCGGCTGTGAGCGGGCGGGCGGAGGGGCGAGGGACAGAGAGGCCGCCTCCGCACACACACACACAGGTACAGACACACACACACACACACACACACACACACAGAGGTACAGACATAGACACAATACACACAGACACACTCAGATACACACACATATATACACAGACATATACTAAGACACACACAGATACACAGACGCATAAACATGGATAGACACACACACACAGGTACAAACATACACACAGACACACACAGGTACACACACATATATACCCAGGCATATACTAAGACACACACAGATACACAGATGCATAGACACGGATAGACTCACACACACACACACACACACACACACAGGTACAGACATACACAGACACACACAGATATACATACACAGACATATACAAAGACACACAGATACAGAGATACACAGAGACACACACACCCAGACAGACACACATCTATTTCTCTCACTCTCTGTCTCACTCTCTCCCTCCCTGCCTCCCTCCTCACATAGGCCGTGGGGGGGTCACTGAGCTCCTCCCAGGCCTCAGGGGCCTCCTTACAAGGCACCGCACCCCGTGGTGTTCTGGACCGGCACTGCCAAGAGCCAAGCTTGACCCGGGCCCCTCAGGGGAGTTTCTTCTTGTTTTGTTTTTTTTTTTTCCGTTTGGGGCCCAGCAGTGCACAGGGCTCCCTCCCGACTCTGTGCTCAGGGCTGACTCCCTGCTCGGTGCTCAGGGCTGACTACTGGCTCTGTGCTTGGGGCTCACTCCTGGCTCAGGGCTGACTCCCAGCTCTGTGCTTCGGGCTGACTCCCGGCTCTGTGCTCACTCCTGGCTCTGTGCTCAGGGCTGACTCCTGGCTCTGTGCTTGGGGCTCACTCCTGGCTCTGGGCTCACTTCCAGCTCTGTGCTCAGGGCTGACTCCTGGCTCTGTGCTCAGGGCTCACTCCTGGCTCTGTGCTCGGGGATGACTCCTGGCTCTGTGCTCGGGGCTGATTCCCAGCTCCGTGCTCAGGGTTCCCTCCCAGTGGGCTTGGGGCACCGTGTGGTGCCAGGGATGAACCCCAGGTCAGCTGGGCATGCGCCCTGACCACTGCACTATCTCCTAGCCCCTCCCCTCTAGGTTTAGGTGAAGGTGACAGGACCGTCTGGTCTGAGGTGGAGCCAAGCCCCAAGGCCCGGGGTCCAGATGGGGCGTCCACCTACTGTTACAGGAGCTGACCTTGCACTGCCGAGGGGTGACAGGGTTGGACACGGCTCCCAGGACCACCCTCCTTTCCACACCCCCGGGAAACAGCGGCATCAACGACAGATGCCATGCCAGGCCTGGACAGGCCCCCGCGGGCTCTGGACAGGCCCCTGGGCAGCCCGGTGACCGTCACTCCCAGGCCCCTGCACACAGTCTGTTTGGGAGATCTGGGGGGGCGGGCAGCTCTGTGACCCCCCCATCCTTCTCCAAGGGTCACCTGCCAACCTCAGCCCAGGGACCACGGAGCCGCCCACGCAACCCCCCCTCCCCCCGACGCGACACCTCAGCCCCCAGACCCCAGGGGCGGGGCGGGCGCAGCCCCGAACCCTCTGCGCATGCGCGGGCCGCACCGATGAACTCGTGCAGGAACACGAGCGAGGCGATGTAGCAGGCCAGGCTGAGCAGCTCGGCCACGGTCATGAGCCAGTGCCACGTCTGGATGGTGAGCGCCACCATGAGCAGCTCGGTGAGGATGAGCGCCGTGAAGGAGATGGCCACGATGTGCACGAACTCGGACTCGAAGAGCAGCAGCGCGCCGTACATGATGGTGCTCCCTGCGGAGGACAGCGCCTGGCACCCGGCACCCACCCGGGGCTGCCCGCCCCGTGCTGCCTGGTGCTGCATGGGAGGCCCACACCTGGCAGCCCTGGGGGGAGTGGGGGTCACTCCTTTTTTGGGATTTTTTTTTTTTGGCTTTCTGGGTCACACCGGAGATGCTCAGGGGCTACTCCTGGCTCTGCACTCAGGAATAACTCCTGGCAGTGCTCAAAGGACCATATGGGATGATGGGAATTGAACCCATGCAAGGCAAACACCCTCCCCGCTGTGCTATTGCTCCAGAGCTCAAGGGTCACGCCTGACGGGGCTCAGGGACCCTCCGGGGTGCTGGGGTCACACCTGGGCCAGCCCCCTCCCCGCCGCCCCGTTTCAGAGCCTGAAGGCCTGGGAGGTGCTAGGCAGGTCTCAGGGTGCGGGGGTCCCCCACCCTCCAAGTGCTGCTCCCGGCAGGGCATCAGAGTCCGGGCACGGGTGGGGTCCGCCCCAACCTACCTTGGTAGACGCTGATCAACACCCAGATGAGGAAGGTCTTGTAGGACAGTGGGCGTCCCTAGAGAGGAGGGCGCAGGTCAGGGGGGCGCCTGCCCACCTCTGCACAGCTGCTGAGGCCATCGGCCAGAACATGCGCATTCCCGGGGGGGACTGGGGGCTGCCTGGTGTGTGGTTTGAATCCGGGGAGCTCAGCGGTGCTCACGGTTCCCTCTTGGCGGGGCTCAGGGTACCGGGTACCAAGCCCAGGGCGGCCACAGGCAGGACAAACCCCCTCGCCTCTTAGCACTGGACCCCGGCCCCAGGGTCTGTTTTGAGGAGATGACGCGAGCTGGGGTAAACAAGCCTGTGAGGACCACAACGAGCCGCGCGGGAGATGCCCCCCACCCCACGCCCACCCACAGGGTCACAGGACAGGGCTGGCAGCCCCACGCGGTTCCAGCTCATGCCACTGTGTGGCTCTCGCGCTTGCCACGTCCATGGCACTTCTCTGAGGAAACTCACTCCCACATCTCCTCTCGGAAGGAGGAGAGGCTCCGCGGGGCCCGGGCCAAAGCCCGCACCTCGCTGTCCCCGGCACTGCCAGTGTGGCCCAGAGACCCCCGGGCACTGCACAGCCAGAGCAGCCTGTAGCCCCTCTCCGTGGCCACTGGCCGAAGGATCAGTGTAAAACAATGGGAGGGGGGGAGCAGGCAGAGGGAAGAGGGAGAAGAGGGAAAAGGGAGGACGAGGAGCAGGGAAGAGGGAGGAGGGGGAACAAGCAGAGAGAGGAGGGAGAGCAGGGCAGAGGGAGGAGGGGGAGCAGGGAAGAGGGAGGAGGGAGAACAGGGAAGAGGAGAGAGGGGGAGCAGACAGAGGGAGTAGGGGGAGCAGGGCAGAGGGAGGAGGGGGAAATCAGAGGGAGGAGGGAGAGCAGAGAAAAAGGAGGAGGGAGAGCAGGGAAGAGGGAGGAGGGGAGCAGGTAGAGGGAAGAGGGGGAGCAGGCGAGGGAGGAGGGAGAAGAGGGAAAAGGGAGGACAAGAGGCAGGGCAGAGGGAGGAGGGAGCAAGCAGAAGGAGGAGGGAGCAAGCAGAAGGAGGAGGGGGAGCAGGCAGAGGGAGGACCGAGAAGGGGAAAAAGGGAGGAGGAAGAACAAAGGGGAGGCCGGGGAGGGGCAGTGAGGTAGCGGGGACGGAGGCGAAGGGAGAAGGGGATGAGGGGTGGGTGAGGGGTACGGGGGGAGCCCGCCGGGCACCTTGAGCAGGTCCTTGTAGAGCTCGGGGTACAGCATGGCCACCTCCGACTTCACGTCCTTGTCCAGCACCAGCGAGAAGACGGGGAACATGGTGTAGATGGTGGAGTACCTGGGGGCCGGGGCAGAGCATGTGGGGGCTGGGGCCGCGGCCACCCCGGGACGAAGGGAGAAGCTGCAGGGCAGCCCCGAGGGGAGGGACCCCGCCGCGGGGCGGGGAACGAGGACGAGGGCACAGGGCTGGGAGGAGCGACTCACCCGATGATGAGGAAGCCTTGGTAGAGCGGAACCGAGGCGAAGTAGAACACGGACGAGAAGACGGCCTGCGGGGGACGGGGAGCCGTGCTGAGCGCGGGGCCACAGCAGCCCCGCTGGGCCGCGGACACAGGCAGCCCATCACCGCCCAGAGAGAGCCTGGCCCAGCCTGCGCCAGCCTCGCGGGCCCGCCAGGGCTGGTGTTGACGGGACAGCGCGGGCCCTGGGCAGCCTCGCCCCCAGAACACCCCGGCCATCGCCCCTCCCCCACCCCGAGACCCCCGGGGACCCCGCGGCCCACCTGCATGGTGCTGATGCAGAGGCTGCGATGGATCACGAACTGGCTGAGGGCGGCCGAGCGCTTGTAGCTGTTCCGCCCGTGAACCATGAGCAGGCGGCCCAGGTGCCGGAACTGCGTGACCGAGAAGTCGGCGGCCAGAGAGGCCTGTTTCCCCTCCTGGGGGCGGGGGAGGGACGGCGTGAGACCCCGAGAGGCTCCGGCCCAACGGCTCGATTGCCGTTTGCAAGAGGAATTTCTCGCAACCGGAAACCGTCCGAAGTGCCGAGTTCCAATCCTGCAGCCAGAGCTCGGCCCACGGGGTTGGGGCCAGCCTGTCCCGGGTACCGGGTCTCTCCCGAGCATCCTTCGAAGGGGGCAGTTCACGGGCCCCACCCCCGGACAAGTATCCCAGGGCCAAGGGTTGGCAGACACCGCATGGAACAGAACCCTCGTGTCCAAGGAACTGTTGTAGGGGGCTGAGCCGAGGACTGTCCGTGCTCATACTCGGGGACCACCCCCAGGCTGACACAGATTAGCATCTGGAAAGGGAACCCCTAGCCACCGGAAGCCCCGCTAAGGGGCAGACACCCAGCCCCCGCGGGTGCAGGACTCACCTTGCCCTCCACGCCCACACCGCAGTCGGCCTCCTGGATCATGCTCACGTCATTGCCCCCGTCCCCTGCAAGAGCAGAGAGGCGGGTGGGGACAGGCGCCAGCAGGCCGCCCGGACGGGGACGCCGCAAAGGCCCGGGTGGGACAGAGGCTGCAGCCGGGCCCTGACTGTCAGGACTGCAGCCCCTCTGGGGGAAGCCGGAGGGAGCGGGGCAAAGTAGCCGGACGCAGGGCCACCCCCGGCCCAGCAGCAACGAGGGGGGCGAGTCCAGGGGAAGGAACCCCCAGACTGGCCATGGGAGCGTGGCCGGAGCAGACACCCTGGGGTCAGGCACAGAAGGAGCATGGAGGGGGACAGTCAGTCGGACCTGGGCGAGTCCTGAGCACTGTCCGCCCACGGGAGTCCCAAGCACTGTCCACCCAAGGGTGAGTCCTGAGCACTGTCCACCCAGGGGTGAGTCCCGAGCACTGACCCCCACGGGGAGTCCTGAGTACTGTCCACATACAGGTGAGTCCTGTCCCCCCAGGCGAGTCCCCCCGCAGGTGTGCGGCCCCAGGCGCGGGCCTACCGACGGCGCAGGTGAGCTTCCCGGTGCGCTCCTGCAGCAGCCGCACGATCTGGGCCTTCTGGGTGGGGGCGCAGCGGCAGCAGACCACGGCCGGGCACTGGCAGGCCAGCTCCATGAACTCGTACTCGTAGTACTTGAGGCAGACCTGGGGGCACGGGGGTCAGCCGCGGCGGCCACCCCCAGGCCCCCCCACACGGCCCCGCGGCCCCCCGCACCCACCTCCAGGGAGTCCCCCGAGATGACCAGGGCGCAGTCGTGCTTCCGCCGGAAGGCGTTCAGCTCCAGGTGCGCCTCGCCGCGGTTGGTCACCTGCAGGGGAGGGCGGGGCTGGGCGCTCGGACAGACAACGGCTGGACAGACAACAACCGCGTGGTGCGGCCAGCCCGGGCTCCGTGGGAACCGCCAGCGGCTGACCCCCCCCACCTCCCACTTCCGGCTCTCAGCCCCGCGGTGCAAAAATAACCGCGAGCAGGACGTGGATGCTGGGCCAGCCCCGCGTGGCACGTCCACCCTCCAGAGCCCGGGCTCAGCCCTGCGGGCTCTAGTCGCCTGCCTCTGGCTGTGTCTGGAGGGACCCACCAACAGCACCGCCATGCTCCAAGCAGGCTCAGTTTGCTTGGGTCTGGGGGCCACAGCACGTGCTGCTCTGGGGATGCTCCCTACTCAGTGCTCAGGGGTTGCTCCCGGCTCGGTGCTCAGGGATTACTCCCTGCTCAGTGCTTGGGGATTCCTCCCTGCTCAGTGCTCAGGGATTATTCCCTGCTCGGTGCTCAGGGACTAGTCCCTGCACAGTGCTCAGGGATTACTTCCTGCTTAGTCGCCTCGGTCCCTCTGCAGTGCCAGAATTGAACCCAGGCCTCCTGGATGTCACAGTACTCCAGCCCTGAGCCATCCCCCCAGCCCCTCTAATAGGACTCGACTTTACATATGAGTGCAGGAGGGCTGCACAAAAGGAGAGAGAAAAAGAAGAAAAGTGCCTGCCACAGAGCCAGGCTGGGGGGGCAGAGAAAGGGGGACCTTGGTGGTGGGAAACGGACACTGGTGGCAGGACGGATGTTGGATAATGAAGTGCTTGTAATGCTCTATCTCGAGGCCATTCCGTAAAAAATTCTAAAGAACCACCACCAATGCAGGGGGACTCGCACACACACTCAGCCCCAGGTGCTGACACTCAGCCGTGTAGGAGCCCACACCCAGCAGTGCTCAGTGCGTGGTGCTGGGGACGGAACCGGGTGGGCCCCATGCAAGGAGAACGCCTTAAGGCCTGGACTGATCAAGCGTCAAGCAGCACTGCCCGCGATCGGGGGGTCGGGGGGCGGGGGGAATGCCTTGCATGCGGCTGACCCGGGTTCGATTTCCAGCATCCCATAGTGTCCCCCAATCACCGCCAGGAGTGATTCCTGAGTGCAGAGCCAGGAGGAACCCCTGAGCATAGGCTGGGTGTGACTCAAAAGGAAACAAAAAAAAAAAAAGAGGAAATGGGGCCGGAAGGCCTCTGGCCATGGTATCTGCCCAGGGTCAGGCCAGGAGCTCGCCCCGGAGGGACCTTCAGAATCGCTGCCCCAACAGCTCCAGGGCCTGCCCGGCCAGGTAGCACCAGGAACAGCAGGACGGGTCCAGACTGGCACTGGGAGTGGGCGTCCTCCCCCAGCAGGACTCCCGCCTCGGGCCGTGTCTCTGGAGACCCCCACCCGACCCTCGCGGGGTGCTGGGCGCAGTGACAGGGAGCGGCTGTGCAGTCCCACCAGGGCCAGTGGGGGACCCCCAGATCCCGGAGAGGCCCTGGTTGCTGGGCATGGTGCCTCTGCCTTTGAGAGGCTCAGTCCCGCCCCCTAGTGCCCCCTTCAACACTCCCCCAAGGTGGGGGTGGAGCGATGGGGCGGGGGAGGCAGTTCCCTTGCACGCAGCCGACCTAGGTCGGCAGCTCCCGGCACCCCATGTGATTCTCTGAGCCTGCCAGGAATGTGATCTCTGAGCACAGAACCGGGAGCAAGCCCTGAGCACTGCTGGGTGTGGCCCAAAAGGGGGAAAAAAATAAAGCACTCAGATAAGTGAGAGAGAAGCGGGGAGGCACTTGCTTTGCACACGGATGCCTCTGGTCTGACTCCAGTGATGCATGCAGAGTCCTGAGCCCTGCCAGGAGTGCTCCTTGAGCACAGAGCTAGGAGTAAGCCCTCAGCATGGCCGAGTGTCGCCCAAACAAACTAATTTTTTTTCAACCTTCTTGGGGGTCCCCTCGGAAGAGGTGGGCTCTGTGACCTAACTCCTACAAACAACACACACAGGAGGTGGCCAGCCAGTACCCGATCAGCTGGGCCGTGTCCATCCCGCTGGGCCTCGGCACTCCCGGCCCTGGGCTGGCTCAGTGAGCAGCTCCATGCCAGCCCGTCCCCGGGGGCAGCCCCTCACCAGCCGGAAGACGTGGATGTCCTGGCTCCGGGTGACCAGGTGCGCGTTCTTGGCTGTGCAGGTGGCCGTCTCCAGCTTGTCCCCGGTCAGCATCCAAACCTGCACCAGGGACAGGGCGGCCGGGTGAGCACTGAGGCTGCCGCGCACGGCTGGTCTCGGCGTGTCCCACTGACCTCGGCGTGCACAGGGGCCCCACAGGACACAACCCTCACCCACCACCACCCGAGGGAGCAAAAGCTCCGGACGCTGCCCACTCCCACCTCATGGTAGTGGACACAGCCCCCAGAGCCTGCTTCTGGGAGACTCTCTGCATCCGGGGCCCCTCGCGTCCTGCAGGAGGAAGCCCCCACATTGGCCAGCCCTCGTGGGCTCACCCCAACCATCAAACACAGCAGTGGAAGTGTGGGTCCTGCCCCGAGACCTTTCAGATGCGGTGTGGGCAGAGTGCGGGAGGCCACGGCCCCGGGCTGCCCGTCACCACCTCCCAGCAGCCCATCTGGTCTCCCAATGACAGCACTCGTGCTCACGGCCTCCGAGCTGGGCAGAGCCTGAGCAAGCAGCAAGAGCGGCCCCCACCCCCCGCCACCTGAGAAGGGAGCCCCGAGAGCAGCCCACGTGGGACAGAGAGGGACGTGTCCTGAGGAAGGACTGAAGCTCAGGGCAGGGGCTGGAGTGAAGGGATAGTGGGGAGGGCACCTGCCTTGCAGGTGGCCAGTCTGGGCCGATCCCCAGCACCCCCTGTGGTGCCCTGAGCACTGCCAGGAAAGTTCCTGAGTGCAGAGCCAGGAGCGACCCCTGAGCAACGCTGGGTGTGACCCCAAAACAAATAATCAAAAGCTCAGGACAAAGCCAGAAGCAAGAGGGAGAGCCGGTCAGGGCCACACATGGGTATGCGTGCACATGCATAGACACGCGTGTGCCTCGAGCACACATACAAGCACACGTGAGTACATATGTGCATACGTATACAGGGATACACACGTGAACGTGTGTGCAGAAACACAAACACACAAGAAGGCGCGTCTGCGCTGCACAGCCTGGGAGCGGCAGAAGGTTCTTTACTGCCAGTTGGATCCACCCGCCCAGGCGGCCCCGAGGTTCCAGCAGAGAGCGGCCATGGGGTGGACAGACAGGAACACGCGCATAAATACACATACACACGCACGCATGCACACACGCACACAGACACGCATGTGTACACACACAGACACACGCACAGACACACGAGCGCGTACACATGCACATGCACGCACACACACACTGAGAAACACATGCACACACAGATACGCACGCACAAACACACACGCAGACACAGACACTCATACACACATATACGCATGCATACAGACACACACATGTACATACACACGGACACATATGCACACATGCACGCACACACAGACACACACACGCATGCACATACACAGAAACGCACACACAGACACACACACACACACAAGTACACACACACACACACACACGTGCCCACCAGTGAGCGTCCCAGCCTGTCCTCTGGCGCCCTCTGCTGTTCTCTGCGGGTATCTCCTGGCTCATGCATCCTGACCCATCACCGACACACAGACGACGCCACTCAGTCACCCGACAGCAGACAGCAGGCCAGGACCATGGGGCCGGGCAGGCATGGGGATGGGAGGTGTGGGGCTCTGCCTGGTCTGGCTCACGCTGTCTCTCTCTGCACCTTGGGGTGCTGTCAGGCGACCTGGGTGCGGGCGCCCGCGGGGAGTCCCTACCTTGATGCCCGCGTTCCGCAGCGTCTCCAGCGTGGGCCGCACGTCCGCCTGCAGCTGGTCCTCCACGCCGGTCAGGCAGAGCAGCTCCATCTCCATCTCCAGGCTCTCGATGACCGTGGCCACTTTCAGGGACCGGTCGTGCACGCTCAGCTTGGCCTGGACGTAACGGGCCTGGACGCACGGGCGGAGGGGAGCCAGGGTCACTGCTGGAAGGGCACCAGGACACCAGCCGCGCCCAGGGCGGGGCACCCAGCACAGAGGAGTCGAGACTTGCAGCCTCCGTCCTGGTCTGGGAGCTGGACAGAGTCGACCCTCTCCGCCCTCCCACGTGACTCTGGCCGGCCTGGGACATGTCTTAGAAGCTGAGAGAAGGGACCAGAGTGACAGCACAGCGTGGAGGGCATTTTCCTTGCACGCAGCCGACCCAGGTTCGATTCCCGGCATCCCATATGGTCCCCCGAGCACCGCCAGGAGTAACCCCTGAGTGCAGAGCCAGGAGTAACCCCTGAGCATCACCGGGTGTGACCCAAAAAGCAAATAAAATAAAATAAAAACTGAGAGAAGGGGCCAGAGCAACAGCGCAGCATGGAGGGCGTTTGCCTCACACCCGGCAACGTGGGTTCAATCCCCGGCATCCCATCAGGTCACCCAAACCCCGCCAGGAGGGATCCCTGAGCACAGAGCCAGGAGTAAGCCCTGAGCATCACATGGGGTAGCCCCCAAAACAAATTGTTTTAAATCAAGAACTAAAGTGGCTCAGCGGGGCTGGGACCCTCGTCTGACGTCTGACTCACAGACCCGGGCACACGGCAGGTCACGGCTGGGCCCACCTCACCCCGCCCACCACACCCAGCCCCGTGACAGGGATGAGAGACCAGGCGGGAACAGGTCTTGTTTCTGGGGCGCCTTGACCCAACGCCGGGCCCCTCACAGCTGCCAACGCACAGGCTGCTGGGGCGCCTCTTCCCGCTCCCAGAAGGCACTGTGTGTGCCAGGGACCACCGCCGCGCACACCGGACAGAGCACAGTCACAGAACTACCCGCCACAGGACCTTTGACTGTGACGGATCACACCAAGACAGGTTGTGAAGGTGAAGGCACAAGCAGCAATGGGGCCACTGCGGGTGAGACGTTGAGGGTCAACGGACAAGGTGGGACCTGCCTAAGGTGCTGGAGTCCAGGAAGGCTTCCCAGAGGAGGCGGCCCCTAAGCTGAGCCCTACGGAATGACAGCATGGGGCCCTGTGGCTCTGGGGGGGGCGGGTCTGGCTCCGAGGGGTTGTCACTGCACTGCAGAGGAGTGAGCAGGCGGGTAGAGCAGAGGAGGAGGAGGGGAGGGAGCACTTACTTCGAAGTCCTGATACTGCTCCTCAGCCAGAGACTTCTTGGCCACCACGAGCACCCGCAGCCCCTCCCGGGCCATGTTCCCACACTGCAGGGCAGAGCGGCCACGGTCAGCAGAGGGCCCAGAGCGCCCCCCACCCCCGGGGCCAACCCCCGCCTGGGGGAAGAGGCTCCGCATGCCTGTGCCCGGCAGAGAAAGGGAGCTTGGGGGGCCCAGACTGACCCCAGCCCAGCACCGCAGGGCCGGGAAGCTCTGTCCACCCAGGGGCCAAGGGCGGCCAGAAAGGGCCCCACACCCCCGAGTACTTGGAAGGCCACGTTGGGGAAAAAAAATAAAGTCAGACAAATTGGGGCAAATTTCAGTTTAAGCCCCGGCACCCCATGGCAACTGAGCAATGCCAGGAGAAGTCTCCGAGCAGAGAGTCAAGAGCAAGCCCTGAGCACAGAGCCAGGAGCAAGCCCTGAGCACAGAGCCAGGAGTCATCCCTGAGCACAGAGCCAGGAGCAACCTCTGAGCACAGAGCCAGGAGCAAGCCCTGAGCACAGAGCCAGGAGTCAGCCCTGAGCACAGAGCCAGGGGTGAGCCCTGAGCACAGAGTCTGGAGTCAGCCCTGAGCACCACCAAACATCAAAAGCACATCAACGGGCCTGGGCCCGCTGACGACCGTCCTGGGCCTCTTGCCACGTCACAAGCGGGCAGGGCAGCCTCTGGACACCACCTGCAGGCCCTACACCAAGGAGCCTGTGGCTCTCACCTGCCCGGGGACCCTGTTCCTGCCAGGCAGCTGGTGGCAAAGCAGAGGGAGGCCTCACCCCTCGGCGGGGGCAGCCTGTCCCCAACCCCTGCCCACGCACAGAGCCAGGTCAGCCCAGAGCAGCCTGAGGCAGCCGCCGGCTGCCAGGGGCAGGTCAGGGCCTGAGTGCAGGGACATGGGGATGCGGGAGAGTGGGGGCAGGGATGTGGGGACACAGGGACCTGGGGGCACAGGGACTTGGGGACACAAGTATCTGGAGGATGCAGGGATGTGGGGGTGCAGGACAGGGGGGCTAAGCACAAAGGGATGCAGGGGTGCAGGGGTGCAGGGGCGCAGGGATGTGGAGATGGGGGTATAGGAATGCAGGGACAAAGGGGTACAGGGGTTTAGGGGTCCAGGGGCCTGGGATGCAGGGGTGCAGGGGTGCAGGGATGAAGGGATGTAAGGCTGCAGGGGTGCATGAATGTAGGGGTGCAGGGGTACGGGGGTACAGGGATGCAGGGGTGCAGGGGTACAGGGATGCAGCGGTATAGGAGTACAGGGATGCAGGGGTGCAGGAGTGCGAGATGCAGGGGTACAGGGATGCAGGGCTGCAGGGATGCGGGGTGCAGGGATGCGGGGTCCAGGGGTATAGGGATTCAGTGGTGCAGGAATGCAGGGGTGCAGGGGTGTAGGGATTCAGGGGTGCAGGGATGCAGGGTGCAGGGGTGCGGGGCTACAGGGATGCAGGAGTGCAAGGGTACAGGGATGCAGGGGTGCAGGGGTGCGAGATGCAGGGGTACAGGGATGCAGGGGTGCAGGGATGTAGCGGTGTAGAGATGCAGGGGTACAGGGGTGCAAGGGTGCGGGGGAGTGGGGATATGGGATGTAGGGGTGCACAGCTGCTCCCGCTGAGTCTTCGGGGGTGCTATTTTCTGGCCCCTCGGCAGGGCCCGCGAGCTCCAAGCCGGAGGCCGCGCCCGGACCCTGGGCCGCCCGGAGCCACTAAGTTGCGAGGGGAGGGGACCCAAGCGCTGCACACAGAGCCCCGCCTGCCCCCTGCACAGCTTCTAGAACACTCTAGAACATGCTGCTCACCTCCTCCTCCAGCCAGTCGTTGTACTGCACGATGCCGGCCATGACCACGTCCGCGCCCTTCATGTAGAAGGTGATCTCGCCCGTGCTGTCGTCCTGCGGGCGGGGGAGAGCGTGAAGGACAGGGGACGCTCAGGTCTCCCCCAGCCGAGACTAAAGGGAGCTCTGGGGGACAGGGGGTCTCCACTTGGGGCAAAGGCCACGGAGCAGAGGTCAGGCGGCATTCAGGCAAGCTCTGCTCTGGGGACAATGCAGTGGGCGGCCTGGCACGGGGGACTGGGCCATGCTCGGCACGCATGGGGACAGACCCCACCGCCTCCAGCCAGGAGCTTGTGGGTAGGAAATTCTATTTTCTACGTTTGTGGTTGTTTTTTTTTGGTTTTGTTTTGCTTTTTGGGTCACACCCAGCGATGCTCAGGGGTCACTCCTGGCTCTGCACTCAGGAATCACTTCTGGCGGTGCTCAGGGGACCCTACGGGATGCTGGAAATCGAACCCGGGTTGGCCGCGTGCTAGGCCAACGCCCTCCCCGCTGTGCTATCGCTCAGGCCCCGGGAATCGCTGTTGTTCTCCTGTTCCGTACCCCACAGCCCAGCCGCGCCCACGCTCTCAGCCACCCCGCCCGGGAACACAGCTGACTCACGCAGCCCAGCTCTGGGGGTGCACAGGGGTGGGGTCTCTGGGGTCCTCAAAGCAGCCGTGCCCATCCCCTGGGAGACCCATACCTGGCCAGGGGCTGCGGGGGGGGAGGGAGTTGGAAGCAGCCCAGGGGTCCTGGCCGCCCTTCCCCCCTGACCCATATACCCAAACGGGGTTCAGGGGGGTTCAGGGCGGCTGCAGGAAGCCGCGCCCCCTCCCCAACTTCCTTCGTGTCCAGCACAAACACCCATCACCGGCTCCGCCCGTGACTCATTTCCTCCTGGGTTCATCCTCGGGCTATGCTGTTCCCACAGCCTGGACCAGCCCTGGGGGCGGGCGGGGGGGGGGGCTCATCTCTTCCCACTGGGGTGTGATTCTGGCCCCCGTTCAAAGGCCTCCCAGCGGGACAATGGGCCGCCCTGAGCTCCACCCGGGGGGAGCAGAGGGCAGGGACGTACAAAGGTGGGGGTGGGGGGGTCTCTCCAGGCACACGGTCCCCCTCGAGAACAGAAGACGTGAAGCCGCACCTCGGGGGTCACTCAGCGGCCGTCCAGACCCACCCGGGGCTACCTCTGTCGGCGGGGGGGATGAAGTGGACAGACATGTGTCCCCGAGTGCCAACACTCCGTGTTATGGGTCCCTGCCTGATGCCCAGCGGGGGCTGGGGGCACCAGAGGAGGGTGTGGGCCAGCACCCTGACCTCTCTGCTCCCGGGAAGCACGAAGGGCAGTTGCTGGACAGACAGACACTTGGAAAGAAAGACAGGACCAGACCCTGCCCCAGGCCCACAGAGCAAGAGTTGCTCCAGGAAAGGGACTTTGCCACCGTTCACGATAGCCAGAATCTGGAAACAACCTGAGTGCCCAAGAACAGACGACTGGTTAAAGAAACCCTGGTACGTCTACACGGTGGAATACTATGCAGCTGTTAGGAAAGATGAAGTCATGAAATTTGCTTGTAAGTGGATGGACATGGAGATTATCATGTAAGTGAAATGAGCCAGAAAGAGAGGACAGACATGGAAGGACTGCACTCATTTGTGGAATATAAAATAACATAATATGAGACTGATACCCACGGACAATAGATACAAGGGCCAGGAACACTGCTCCATAGTTGGAAGCCTGCCTCATGAGCTGGGGGAGAAGGCAGCTGGGATAGAGAAGGGATCACTAAGTCAATGATGGTTGGAGGGATCGTTTGGGATGGGAGATGTGTGCTGAAAGTTGATACAGGACCAAACGTGATGGCCTCTCAGTATCTGTGTTGCAAACCATAATGCCCAAAAGTAGGGAGAGAATATGGGGGAAATTGTCTGCCATGGAGGAGGGGGAGGTTTGGAAAGGGGGGTGGGTAATACTGGGGAGATTGTTGGTGGGGAATGTGCACTGGTGGAGGGATGAGCGTTCGATCATGGAATGACTGAAACTCAAACATGAAAGCTTGTAACTGTGTCTCACGGTAATAGAATAAAAATTTAAAAGAAAGAAAGGGGTTCACCAGCAAGATGTGAGGTGCATGTGCGAGTGGTAAAAATCACACTCTGGGGGCTGGAGCAATAGCATAACGGGTAGGGCATTTGCCTTGCATACGGCCAACCCAGGTTCGATTCCCAGCATCCCTTAGGGTCCCCTGAGCACCGCCAGGGGTAATTCCTGAGTGCAGAGCCAGGAGTAATATTACCCCTGTGCATCACCAGGTGTACCCAAAAAGCCAAAAAAAAAAAAATCACACTCTGATGACAGAGAGACGAGGATCTGGATGGGGGATGGAGCTGTGGTCAGGGGGCGAAGGTCTGGGTGGGGGACATAGTCTGGACGGTGGGCATGGGTGTGGGAGGGGGTGGAGGCATTGAGCCTGTCCTGGGGCCATTTTCCAGAAACTGTCACACATAGGGCAGCAGTGAAGGGCCGGGTCAGAGAGACGCCGACCAGGCGGGGCGCAGATTCTGCACGCAGGAGACCCGGGTTCAATCCCCAAGCAGGGCCCCGAGGGGCCCCCAGCACCGGTCCCTGAGCATGGCAGGGTCTTGGCCCCCAAACAAACACAAAGAGAAAGAAGCATTTTGGGGAGGGGGCTGGAGCGATAGCACAGCGGGGAGGGCGTTTGCCTTGCACGCTGCCAACCTGGGTTGGATTCCCAGCATCCCATAGGGTCCCCCGAGCACCGCCAGGAATAACTCCTGAGTGCAGAGCCAGGAGTAACCTCTGTGCATCACCGGGTGGGACCCAAAAAGGAAAAAAAAAGAAGGCAGGAGGGGGAGGAGGTGGGGGCGAGGCTACAGTGGGAGGGGGCACATTCCGCTGCCCCGACAGGCCGGTCCAGGCTTCCCCACTTCACCAGGGGCGGTCCATGGTGGCCCCGACACAAGAGGACAGCAGTGGCTGGTCGCCTCCCAGCAAAGAACCCCAGAGGACAGTGACGATGCCCAGGAAGCCCCCCCACACACGCTGAGGCAGGTCTGGGAGCCCCCAACCCCCGCAGCGCCTGAGGGTCCCGACTGGCAGGTCCCAGCCCCCAGCCGGGTGCCAGCCTACACCCTGGGCAGAGGCTTGGGGAGCCGCTGTGCCCTTGGAAAATGCTCCCACGGGGGCCAGAGGGGCAGGACAGTGGGCAGGGCGCTTCCATCCCTGGTACCTGCAGGGCCGCGCAAACCCGGCCCAGAGTCAGGAGGAAGGTTCTGAGCACCGCCGGGCGTGGCTCAAACACAGAACCAAACAAGAGCGTTCCCGAGCCCGCACAGTGGACACACAGGGCAGGGCAGCGGCAGGCCAAGAGTGCCCACCCCCCGGGGCTGGAGAGATAGCACAGCGGGTAGGGCGCTTGCCTTGCACATGGCCAACCCGGGTTCGATTCCTAGAATCCCATAGGGTCCTCTCTGCATCGCCAGGTGTGACCCAAAAAGGAAAAAAAAAAAAAAGAGGGCCCGCCCCACTCTGGCCCCGGCCATCGGCCTCTCGAACCCACCACTGAGCTGGGAGGCAGCGGCCGGGCAGCGATGACCAGAGCGGCCTCCAGCCGGCACAGAGCCCCTGCCTCCACTGGCGCCCCCGGCGAGCAGAGGAGGGTGGGGGGCTGCAGCCAGACTCCCAGCCCCCACGCCTGAAACGCTCCTGCGTGCGGCCCCAGTGACCCCCGCTGGCATGGCGGAAAGGGGGACTGGAGAGATAGCGAGAAACAGGGAGATCAGGCACTTGCCCCGCACGCAGTCGGCCCGGGTTCGATCCCTGGTGGTCCCCGAGCACCCCCAGGACTGATCCCGGAGCACAGAGCCAGGAGCAGCTTCCTGCCGAAAGCATGCACTTACTTATTTACTTCTGGGCCCAGACGGGAACGCCCACCCCCACCCCTACCACCCCCCCACCCCCCCCCAGGCACTTAGTCCTCGCTCCAAGCCAGAGGGGGACCTGGTCATCTCTGCCTAGCGGGGACACTCCTGTGTTTGGGGCAAGCAGGAAGTGGGATCGTGGGGCCGTGGGGACGCAATGTGAGGGGGAGTGTTGGGGGGTACGGGGGGGGGGGCGCCCGCAGGGCCAGCAGGCTGGACACTCACCCGCACGATGACACCCATGCGCTTGCTCTCGTAGGTGAACGGGAAGATCTGCAGGATGGTGAAGTTCAGGATCTGGTCGCCAGGGGTCCTCAGCTGCACGGAGGACTGGTCCCGGCCCACCAGGGTCAGGCCCACGCTCTCAGTCCACTGGACCAGGGCCACCTGCAGGGGACAAGTCGGGCTCAGCGACACGGGAGCGCTGGTCCCGCACGCAAACATCAAAGGGGACAGGCAGGGTCAGTCCCTGGGGAAGGTGGCCGGCCTGGGATGTCCCCAGCGCTGAAGGTTCAGCCCGCCTCCTCCAGGCCTGGACGTGGGGGAGTCCGCACAGGGGCTCCGAGACCACTCCAAGGGCCCAGCACAGACTTCGCGTGAGCCCTGCGCCTGGGCTGCACGGCCAGTATACCCAGGAAGCACCCACTGGGCCGGGCTGAGCATCACTGGGTGGCCGTGGGGGCTGCCCAGCTCCTGGGCAAAAAGAAACCCACAAAACTGGACCCACCGGTCAAGATCAATGAGGGGATCAATAGCTCGTTCCAACAGATGCAGTGCTGGCACCAAGACAGGGCAGGGGCCATGATCCAGAGACACAGAAAAGACTCTCCGAGCCAAGCAGCTCGCTGCAGAGATCTCTCCAGACCCTAATTATCTAACATTTCAGAATTCTAGGAGCACGCGGCCACTCTCGCGGCCACGCGACACCTTATGCTATTTATAACTAGCGACACAAAAGAGAGCGTGGGGGAGACTGTCTGCCACAGAGGCAGGGGGACGGGGAGAATGGAGGGGGATACTGGGGTTCTTGGTGGTGGAGGATGTGCACTGGTAGAGGGTTGGGTGATTGATCGATCACTGTATGAAACTCAAACAGGAGAGCTTTGTAACTGTATCTCATGGTGATAAAAAAAATAACAATAATGAAAAATAACAGTAAGGTGTTGGAGCGATAGCACAGCGGGGAGGGCGTTTGCCTTGCACGTGGCTGACCCAGGTTCAATCCCCGGCATCCCAGATGATCCCTCGAGCACCGCCAGGAGTAACTCCTAAGTGCAGAGTTAGGAGAAAAGAAAAAGGAACGAGAGGAAAGACAAGAGGCCACACGCCGGCATGGGAGAACAGGAACACGGAAGGCAGCCAGTGTACCCACAGCGGGTCAGTGCGTGCGGGAAGAGGAGCCACGGGCGTGCGCCTGAGACCCCTGAGGAGGAGTAGCCGGCAGCCAGCGGGGCAGACTCGCCTCCCCTTCAGGAATGCTCCAGGCCCAATGCTAAGGGGGTCTGTGGGGGCAGTGGGCGACGGGGGGAGGTGAGGCTGGCACAGTCACAGATACCGAGAGCAAAGGCGCCACTGGGCGCGGCCGTGGACAGACGCACAGGTCCTGTCTCGATGCCGTTGCCCCTAAAATGGGGTGCGAGGGCAGGGTCGGGGCAGACAGGCTGGGATGCCGGAGCACCACCCAGCCCCCCTCCACCGTTCCCAGAGCACCCTGAGGGCAGGTGAGGGGAACGGGCTCTGGCCCCAGACACGCCGTCACCAACGACACTCAGCTGGGGTTCCTTCTGGGTCAAGCTCGAGTCCATGCTTCCTCTCGAGGGCGAGAGGGATCGCCCACATCTGAAAGTGGGGGCCCCTGCAGCTCCCAAAAGGGACCCCCGAGACTCCCTACCTCAAGCAAATGTGTGTACACGTAGGTGCTGTATGCATGCACGTACTTACCTGTGTGTGTCTACTGGGCCTATGTGTGCATGTGCCTGCATGTCTGTACATGCCTGTGTGATTGCGTACGGGTGTCCACACATGCGTGTGTTTGCATATACAGCTGTGTGCCTTCCTGTGTACATATACATACCTCTGTGCGAACCTACCTGTGCATGTCTGCATGTATGTGCTTGTGTGTCTGCGTGTGTGTGCATGTTTGAGTACACAAATGTGCATATGTGCCTGTGTGCATGCCTGAGTGTACATATGTGCCTGTGTACATGCCTCGTATACTTACCTACATGCCCATGTACCTTACTGTGTACACCTACAGCATGCAGATATCCCTGTGTGTGCCTGCATGCATGTACATGCCTGTGCACGCGTCTGTGCACACAGACGTGCGTACATGCCTGTGTGCATTTGTGTGCGAACCTATGTGTCTTCCTGCATACATATACACGCCTACACAGGTGCGTGCCTGCACGCGGACACACCTGGGTGCGTGTGCCTGCCTGCAGCCGCGGGCGGGGCTCACCTCGTCGGGGCTGGACGCCTGGTACACGCGGCACGAGTCTTCGTACTGCTTCTCGGCCTCGGCCTGGTCGGTGACGCCGTTGGACTCGTACACGGGGGTGACGTTGTGGCAGAGCGCGATGGCCTTGACCGCCTCGTGCACGCGGCTGCTCATGGTGCGCCGGACCTTGGTGGTGAGCGTGGGGCCCTTCTGGGCAGGGGGCTCCTGGGCCTGCTGCGGGGACAGGTCGGGAGGAGCTGAGCGTGCGGGTGGGGGGGGGAGGCGGCAGGCAGGGCTGCCCCCGCCCACACGGGCCCCAGGACTGGCCCAAAAGTGTCCCTGCCCTGAGGGAGTCACAGTCGGGGAGTGTGGGGGCACCACGCGGGCGGGACCTCACACTCAGGGCAGTCCTGGGGGTTCCAGCCTCAGCCCCAGGTGGGAGGTGTCAACCCGAGTCTAACAAGCCATGACCCAGACCCCCCAGGGAGCCCAAACTGTGCCCCGGACTGGATCACCTTCGTCTGTGCATCAGACAGAAGACGGCAGACCCAGGACGCGGCTCCGAGCCACAGCGCCAGCCGGGACCCTGGCACCGCCCATGTGCCCAGCAGGGTCCCCGGGCACCCGCTCCAGACCCCTCCCTTGGCCAGTGGCCCTGGGTCAACCCCATCCACCCCTCCAAGTCTGCCCGCCCGTCTTGCCTCTCCACCCCAATAGAGCCGCGTGGCCTTTCTGTCCTGTGAGCGCGCCGCGTGGCCTTTCTGTCCTGTGAGCGCGCCTCCTGCCTGCCCCAGGCCCCTGGCACTGCTTCCCTGTAACCTCCCTGTAGTCTCTGTAGCTGAGACTCAGTGCATCTCATTAATCGGATCTCAGTTCAGATGCTGCCCCGTAAAGAGGCCCTCCCTGAAGCCCCCCCCATCCACGCAGCTCTGCTGGCCGGCCCCCCAACTGAGCCCAGGCTTTCCCTCTGCCCGGTCTCCCCCTGGAGATTGGCTCGGCCACCTGAGGACACTCCGGTGCCATGTGAGACCCCATACCTAGACACGGGGTGACGGTGGTGATAAAGGGGCCAGCACAAGGGGGTGGGAGCGCGTGGAGACCCCACTGGACACAAATTCTTTCTCCCGAAGAAGAAATAACTGAACTTGACCAACACCGTTTCCAGATTTGTTTGTTTTGTCTGGGGCGGCCGCACCCAGAGGTGCTCAGGGCTCTGCACTCAGGGACCACTCCTGGTGGGGCACACTGGGACCACAAGGGGTGCAGGGGACCGAACCCGGGTTGGCCATAGGCAAGGCAACTGCCCTCCCTCCTAGCATCACTCCAGTCTCAGCTATAAATTTTATTTTATTTTGTACCATACCCAGCTGTGCCCGGGACTTACGCCGAGCTCTGTGCTCAGGGATACCAGAGATTAAACTCGGGTGAGGGGCTGGAGCGATAGCACAGCGGGGAGGGCGTTTGCCTTGCATGCGGCCGACCTGGGTTCGATTCCCAGCATCCCATAGGGTCCCCCGAGCACCGCCAGGAGTGATAACCCCTGAGCATCGCTAGGTGTGACCCAAAAAGAAAAAAACTAAATAAAAAAAAACTCGGGTGAGCCGCACACAAAGCAAGTGCCCCTCCCCACCCCAGTTCCAGACTTAAAATCGTGCATCCAGACTGGGGACCTCCAACAATAATCCGGCATGGTTAGCCCAGCCCCGGAAACTTAGACGTGTTTACGGATCACTGGATGCCACGTTTCATTAAAAACATCTTTTATCCAACAGAAAGAGAATCGACCCGATCCTTTACAACAAGTTGGGTTTCATCCCCACGAGCCAAGGGTTGCCCACATAGACAACAGATGGGTTCCGAGACCCAAGAGAAGGGCTCCCGTTTCATTTTTGAATACTATTTTTAGCCATCGCGCTGGACTCCCTGGGTAATTAGACAATTACTGAATTATTCTGGTCACAGAGGCGCGCACACACACACACACACACACACACACACACACACACACACACACACACCCGCCCTGGCTTCCTGCTCCGTTAACCTCTGGTGTCAAAGGATATGTGTTTCACTTCCAGGCCAAAGGGCACAGCCTGGTAACAATAATTAGAGCCATGAATCAGAGCTCGGGCTTAAACGAATCATTATTTGCCAAGTGCTTTTCATTATAAAGAATTTAACTCTGAAATGATCCGCAAGAAGAAAGACGGACGGAGGCTTCTCTCGGCTCCACCGAAGCTCAGTAATTACATTCACGCTCTGACTCGAGCGTCCGCGGCCGGCCGGTTGGCCACGTTCCCGGCACCTGGACCAAATTACTGCTGACCATCAGGCCAGGACAAGACCTCTGGCTCCGGCTTGGTCGGGCTGCCAAGTTTTCCTGGTGGGGGATTTTGAACCGACGACGGCGGCCTTCCCCACCTCGGGGATGCTACGGCGACCTGATTTCTTTCCGAGTCGGGGGGCCACGCCCGCAGGACTCGGAGCTAACTCTGGGCTCCAGAGTCGCACTGGGGGGACCTGATGGGAACTGAACCCTGGTCAGCCACATGCCAGGCGAGCCTCATCCATCCACTGAGCTGTCTCTCCAGCCTGCAACCTGATCTGCCGTCTCTAGGTGACAAGCCAGCCCAGGGAGGGAGCCAGGGGAGTGGGCTGAGTCCTGGGTCCGGCTTCCAGGTGAATCGAGGGCCCAGAGAGACCCCGGGTGACGCACAGATGGCCCAGCCCTGCGGGACCCACACACAAGCCAGGGAATAAGGAGAGGTGAGGCCCACGGTCCCCCTAGGATGACCGGGCAAAGGGTCCTCACCCAGGTGCCCCCAACGACACTCTCCTCGTTTCCAGATGACAGCCCGGTGGGACACTCGGGGGGCGTGGCACGGCCAGGCCCAGCCCCGAGACCCCCCTCCCATATGCAACAGTTCCCCACGCTCCCGGGCTCTGCACACGCTTCTCCTCCCTTGACTAACAACAGGGCAAAACAGAACCAGATGTGGCGGGCAGCGGGCAGGTTCGAGCTGCTGCCCCGGGGGAAGTCCCCGCTGTCTCGGGAGGAAGGGCAGGACGAGCCTCGAGCCTCGGAGGTCAGTGGTCGGGAGGAAGAGATGCAAACGCAGCCCCCCACTTGGCCAGGGCATGGGGGGGGCTCACATCCTACAATGCTCACGCCTCTCTCTCCCTCTCCCTCTCTTTCTCCCTCTCTCTCTCTTCCTCTCTCCTTCTCTTTCTCACTCTCTCCCTCCTTCTCTTTCTCCCTCTCTCTCCCTCTCTCTCTCTCCTTCTCTCTCTTTCTCTCTCTCTCCCTCTCTCTCTTCCTCTCTCTCTCTCTCTCTCTCTCTCTCTCTCTCTCTCTCATGCACACAAATGAGATGCAGAGACTCATGGAAAAGGGGCAGTCCCAGATAAGACCGGATCTGTGTCCAGGTGCCAGACCACCAAGGAGAAGTCCCAGCACCCCACACGGTCCCCCAGACCCTGCACACACACAGCACACAGACACACACAGCACAACAGGCACACACGCGCATACACACACACATGCACACGCGCACACACACGTGCACACACATACATGCACACACACACGCGTGCACATACACACACACACAAACATGCACACACACGCCCAGAGTCCAGAGTAAGCCCTGAGCATCTCCAACTGTGACCCAAAATTTAAAAAAATTAAAATGTTGAGCACCGTGACGGGGCCAGAGGGATAGTACGGTGCACAGGTGCAAACCTGGCCCAGCCGGGGCCCATCCCCGGCACCCCATCTGGCCCCCCGGGCCCACCAGGAGTGATCCCTGAGCACAGCGAGGTGTGACCCAGAAGCAGAAGAGTCTCAGAGGAGCGAGGGCTCTAGCATGCCGGCCGGTCACCAGACAGTGCTGGTCACCGGTTAAAGGCCCACCCCATCCCACCTCACCCCCCACCAGCAACACAGAGGCGCCCAGCTTGATTTGCAGGAAGGACCCTGGAAGCTAGAGTATCCGCAAACGAATGTTCTAGAAGTTAGCTGTTAAATACGGGAGTCTGAGTGAGAGTATAGTGGGGAAGGTGTTTGCCTTGCACTGGGCTGACCCAGGTTCGATCCCCGGCATCCCCATAGGGTCCCTCGAGCACCGCCAGGAGTGATTTCTGAGTGACTCCTGAGTGCAGAGCCAGGAGTCAGGCCTGAGCATCGCCGGGTGTGACCCACAAACAGAATTTAAGGAGGGAGGAAGGCCAAGGGTATGGAGCAGGCAAGGGACGGGAAGGGAGAGGAGACCCTCGGGACCCCGGGCTGTGGGGACACTCTGCCCGCGTGGGACTCCGGGTGAAACGCCAACAACCTCACAATCCCCAGCACTACAACGGATGGACCCCCAAGTACCCTGTGGCCCCAACCCGACAGCACCCGGGCCTCCCTCAGTGGGGCTAAGACAGAAACACCCGCCCAGTCAGCCGAGCAGCACTGGGGGACCCCCGGCCCTTGTGGGAAACCCCCCCAGATAAAACCAGCATCTGATGGACGGTCACATGGCTGGGGTCAGCGATGACATGAGAAGCCAGTGGGCCGCCAGCCTGCAGTAGCTGAATCCCGAGCCACGAGCCCGTCCCACCCGGCCACGCCACTAACTTGTCCCGTGACTAGGAGCCCCTGCCCACCCTCCTGGTGGGGGAGAGTGCATCCCCGCCGCCCCGAGGGGTTCCGAGGTGGGACACGTGTATTACCTGCGTGTACACACTGAAGATGTGGCTCTGCACTTCATCCATGGAGTCGGGCCCATAGGCTACAGTGCCCAGATGGAGCCGTTTGAAAACCATCTCGTTCTGCGTCAGAGTTCCTGCAACGGGACCAGCGTCACTGGGTCAGGACGGGGTTTTTTTTCGGTTTTGGGTTTTTTGGGGGGTATTTTTTTGGGGGGTGGGGGCCACCCCTGGCTGTGCTCAGGGCTTAGTCCTGGCTCTGAACTCAGGGGTGGCGCCTGGCAGGCTTGGGAGGTCACATGGGGTGCCGGGGATTGAACCCGCTCAACTGCGTGCAAGGCCAGCCCCCCGGCCCGCTGCCCTATTGCCCGGGCCAGCTTTCACTCTGGGGGACTTGTCCAGATGTTCCTGTTTATCACGGACAGGTGTTGGCACCCGTCTGCCCACCCACCCCGGCTCTTTCTTACGTTACATCTGGGAGGGGCCAGAGAGACGGAACCGCAGGGAGGGCGCTGGCCTTGCACGCTGCTGACCTGGGTTTGATCCCCGGCACCCCACAGGGTCCCCGAGCACCACTAGGAGTGATCCCTGAGCAGATTCAGGAGCAAGCCCTGAGCACTGTTGGGTATGGCCCAATATCCAAAAAAAAGGAAAAAAAAAAAAAAAAAGGACGAGCAGGGAATCTAGCCACACCAGGAGTGAGTCCTGAGCAGCGAGCCAGGAGCAACCCCTGAGCACTGCACAAAAACAAAAACGTACAACAAAAATCCCCGAAAGTTACATCCAGGGGCTGAAGAGACCGTGCAGGGGCCAGGGGTCAGAGGTCAGGCCTTGCACTCGTCTGAGCCCAGTTCAGTCGCCGGCTCTGCAAGGCCAGGGCAACAACGGGCACCAGGACCGCCGGGAAAAGAAATCCTGGTGGGCGGGTGAGAGGGAGTGTCCATCTGGGGGCCCCACGCAGTCCACTGGCCGAGAGGGTGCTCATGGCCCGGGCTGAGCCAACCAGAGTCTGCCGTGAGGGGCCCCAGGACCTGAGCGGGTTCGAGTCGGAAGTCACTGGATGGCAGCTCTGGGGAGGCACGTGGGGGCTTCCCCCCCACTTCCCCTCAGGGGGCCCTACTCTGGAACCCCGCACCTGCCGGGCCCGGCTCTGGCTCAGACACCCCCTGGGTAACCCCCCCGGGTGCCCCCTCCCCGCCCCCCCAGCCGCCGCCCCCTGGCCGCCCACCTGTCTTATCGGTGAGCAGGTAGGAGATTCTGCCCAGCTGCTCGGGGATGGTGCTGGAGCGCACGACGGTGCCGGGGATCTTGGGGTCCCGGCGGATCATCCAGCTGTACACGATCTTGCCCATGTCCAAGTTCACACGCAGGCTGAGGAGGCGGAGCGGTCAGCGGGATGCCGGGGGCAGCCCGGGCCCTTCTGGGGCTCACTGTGTCTCGGGGCTGCACCCGGCAGTGCTCTGGGCTCAGACCGGGGGCACGCGGCTCTCCCGCAGTCACTGGGAGAGGGTCCCCGGGGCCAGAGCGACAGCACAGCGGAAAGAGCATTTATTTGTCCTGCACGCGGCCGACCCAGGTTCAATCTCCAGCATCCCACAGGGTCCCCCGCGCACCACCAGGAGAAATTCCTGAGTGCAGAGCCAGGAGTCACCCCTGAGCATCGCCAGATGTGGCCCAAAAAGTCGAGAGGGAGAGAGAAAGAGAGAGAGAGAGAGAGAGAGAGAGAGAGAGAGAGAGAGAAAGAGAGAGAGAGAGGGTCCCCGGGACGGGCACGTCCCTCCACGCCCCTGGCCACCAGCCGGCGGCAGTCCCCCCCACCCCCCTGCAGGTGGGAGACGCGGCGCCCGGCCCCGCTCACCTGATGGGGATGATGTTGGAGAAGAGCAGGAGGAAGCGGATGATCTGCAGGTACCAGCGGCCGGCAAAGTGCTGCAGGGCCACCATCACCAGCGACACCACCACCAGCGCGCCGAACAGGATCTTCGTGAGGCAGTTCACCTCCAGGTCGAACAGGCCGATCTGCGGCGGGCGAGAGGGAAGCTGGGTGCTCACGGGCCGGGCCCACAGCCCCCCTGGGTGCCGCCTTCTCTGAGACGGCCGGCGGGGCCTGTCGGCCAAACACGCGGGTTCCTCGGGCAGGCTCAGAACAGACGTGCCGGGCACCGCACAGAACTCGGCTCTTACTTTCGTTGACTAGTTTTTGGTCTGTGGGCCACACCACACCTGGCGGTGCCCAGGGCTGACTCCCGGCTCTGTGATCGGGGCTGACTACCGGCTCTGTGCTCAGGGCTCACTCCCTGCTCTGTGCTCAGGGCTCACTCCCGGCTCTGAGCTCAGGGCTCACTCCTGGCTCTGTGCTCAGGGCTCACTCCCGGCTCTGTGCTCAGGGCTCACTCCCGGCTCTGTGCTCAGGGCTCACTCCTGGCTCTGTGCTCAGGGCTGACTCCCGGCTCTGTGCTCAGGGCTGACTCCTGGCTCTGTGATCAGGACTCACTCCCTGCTCTGTGCTCAGGGCTCACTCCCGGCTCTGTGCTCAGGGCTCACTCCCGGCTCTGTGCTCAAGGCTCACTCCCGGCTCTGTGCTCAGGGCTCACTCCCGGCTCTGTGCTCAAGGCTCACTCCTGGCTCTGTGCTCAGGGCTCACTCCCGGCTCTGTGCTCAGGGCTGACTCTCGGCTCTGTGCTCAATTATCACTCCTGGCTCTGTGCTCAGGGCTGACCCCTAGCCTCTGTGCTCAGGGCTCACTCCCAGCTCTGTGCTCAGGACTCACTCTCAGCTCTGTGCTCAGGGCTCAACTCCTGGCTCTATGCTCACCCTGGCTCAATGCTCAGGGCTCACTCCTGATTCTGTGCTCAGGGCTGATTCTCATCTCTGTGCTCAGGACTCATTCTTGGTTCTGTGCTCAGGGATCACTCCTGGCAGGGCTCCACTTTTGATGCCAGGATTTGAATCCGGGTTGGCTGTGGATAGCGCAACCACCTTATGCACTGTACTCTCTCTTCTGCCCTGCTTGTTAATTTTTTAAATTATTGGTCTTTGGACCACATCGAGTGGTGCTCAGGGCTGACTCCTGGCTCTGTGCTCAGGGATTTCTCCTGGCAGGGTTTGGGGGGGACAAAGCGGGGTGCCGGGGATCAAACCTGGGTCCGGATGCAGGAAGGCAAAAGTCTTCCCACTGGCCTATCGCTCCAGTCCCTCCTCACTTTCTTTTTAACCCACAACATGACAGATGGGGACACACATTTGGTGGTGCTGCACGCAGGGACCCCAAACCAAAGATGGCCCCAAAGTCAAAAAGCCCCCAGACTCTGCACCCACCAGACCGCAGCTCAGGGCTCTGGCGCAGACTCACGGACAAATATCCGTAGTCTCCTCAGGACATGTTCATTCCAAGGGACGTCCCTCCAGCCCACGTCACCGGCACACCTGACTAACTTCCACGGGCTGAGCAAAGACTCACACGTCCCTCCCGTGACATGCCCCTGTGAGGACGGCTGTCACGTGGTATGACCATGACCCATGCTGGAGACGGAGCATCTAGTCCAGGTCTTGTAAGGCATCATTCTGTGTCCCCTTGGCACTTCCTTTTTTATTTTTACTTTTAAACACGTCAGGTATGAGAGCTGGAGAGACAGCACAGTGGCTAGTGCCTTTCAAGCAGCCGACCCGGGTTCGATCCCCACATGCCATAAGGAACCCAAGCACCACCAGGAGTGATTCCTGAGTGCAGAGCCAGGAGTGACCCCTGAGCAGCACCGGGTGTGACCTACAAACAAAAACTTCAAGTTTTATAAATTTGTAGCCACACTGAAAATTAAAAATATAGGAGGCTAGAGGGGTTGGAGCGATGGACAGTGGCCAGGGCATTCGCCTTGCATGTGGCTGACCCACATTAAATCTCCTGCATCCCATATGGCCCCCCAAGCCTGCGGGGTAATCCCTGAGCTCAGAGCCAGGAGTAAGCCCTGAACACTACCAGGTGTGGCACAAACAAAACCGCAGCAAAAAAAGAAAAAAGAAATTATATGGAGCCATAGCACAGCGGGTAGGGCATTTGCCTTGCACACGGCCCGGGTTTGATTCCTCTCGGAGAGCCCAGCAAGCTACCGAGAGTATCTCGCCTGCACGGCAGAGCCTGGCAAGCTCCCTGTGGTGCATTCGATATGCCAGACACAGTAACAACAAGTCTCACAATGTTTCTGGGCCCGCTCAAGCAAACTGATGAAAAATGGGAGGACAATGACAGTGAGATATATATGTATGTCCACATAGGACTAGAGAGCCAGCACACAGCAGGGAAGGGACTTGCCGGCATGCAGCTACCCTGGGCTGGAAATGGAACCTCCCGTGGTCCCCTGAGCCTGCCAGCAGGGATCCGTGAGCACAGAGCAACCCTGAGAGCTGCGGGTAGCACCTCTCCCCGCCCTGCCAAAACATAAAATAAAAACACCGGAGACGTCACTGAACTGCGTTCAGCTCTTCCACTTGGAGGCAGAGGGTCAGAGGGCGAGCGAGTGTGAGGCCGGGGCCAGGCAGCTGGGGGCGGCCCGGGGCCCTGAGCTGCTGCCACAGGCAGAGCCGAGCCGGGCCGCAAGTCGCTGAGTCTGTGAGTGCGTGAGCCTGTGTCTGTGTGTCTGTGAGTCTGTGAGTCTGTACCTGTGTGTCTGTGTGTCTGTGTCCGTGTGTCTGTGAGCCTGTGTCTGTGTGTCTGTGTCTGTGAGTCTATGCGAGTCCGTGAGTCTGTGTGCCCAGGAGTCCATGTCTCCGTGAATCTGTGTGTCCCTGTGTCCATGAGTCTGTGAATCTGTCAGTCCGTGAGTACGTGTGTCTGTGTGTGTCTATATGTCTGTGTCTATGTGTCTGTGTATCCGTGTGTTCGTGAGTCTGTGTATCCATGTGTCTGTGAGTCTTTGTGTCTGTGAGTCTGTTGTCTGTGAGTCTGTGTGTGTCTATGAGTCTGTATGTCCGTGTACCTGCGAGTCTGTGTGTCTGTGTGTCTATATGTCTGTGTCTATGAGTCTGTATGTCCATGTGTCTGTGAGTCTGTGTGTCTGTGAGTCTGTGTGTCCATGAGTCTGTGTGTCGTGAGTCTGGGTGTCCATGTGTCTGTGAGTCTGTGAGTCCATGTATCTGTGTGTCTGTGTGTGTCTATATGTTTGTGTCTGTGAGTCTGTGTGTCCGTTTGTCCGTGAGTCTGTGTGTCCGTAAGTCTGTGTGTCCGTGAGTCTGTGTACCTGTCTGTGTGTCAGTGAGTATGCGTGTCTGTGAGTCTGTGAGTCCATACAGGCCTGTACGCACCCATGCACCGTACACAGATGCTCAGACGGTTGCTAGTACATGACGCCATCGGCGCCAGGGGGTTTCCCAGGCACGACTAAGGGGGCTCCGGAGGCCCCTCCTGGCACTACTCAGAGAAGCAGCCCAACGGTTCACTGCCGTCGCTGCCTGGGCCTGGGTGCCGGGACCCACAGAGACCAAGCACCGCCCGGGACAGCATGCCAGGGAGCACACCTGGAGCACAGCCCTGACCCCCGCCTCCTGCCCCCACCTCCGCCCTCACGATCGCGGGGGGCACCCGGCACCCACACACCTTGCTCCGCGGGTTGGAAGTGTTCATGACGCTCCGGAGCTCTCTGCCCGTGTACAGCACGACCCCCACCACGGTGCCTGCAGCGACACAAGCCGGGCGAAGGCTGTGAGTGAGCACCCGCCAGCTCTCCCACCCCCACACTGACGTGACCCACCCCCAATTCCCCCACGACGCCCGCCGGCTCCCAGATCCCCTCCCCCAAGAGCGCCCACCAACTCTCAGACCCCCAACCCGGCAGTCCACAGGACGGGTGGCACCCCGGGGGCACTGCCCGCTGGGCACGCTCCACAGAACCAGGCCCACCAACCACCCACCCCCCTACGCCTCGGGGGGCGCATCTCCACGTGTGCCCAGGCTGTCTGGGCTGGGCATCTGTGGACCAGGCAGGGGTGGCAGGGCAGGCCGTGGTCTCCTTGGCCCACGCTTAAAGGGGCATGACAGGTGTCCACGGGCAGGAGCAAGCCCGCCACCAAGCATCTTAGCCCTGGGCCATCTTTCCAGCCCACCTCCACGTCTTTTTTTAAAAATCATTTCTGGTGATGCAGGGGGGAAATCCACGCCTTCCAGATCCTCTACTCACTCCTAGTCACCTCCCTGGGGATCGGGGCCACACCGGGCAGTACCCAGGGGCTGCTCCTGGCTCTGTGCTCAGGAGTGACCCTTCATGGTGCTCGGGGAACAACATGTGGTGCCAGAGATGGACCCAGGTCAGCACGTGCAAGGCAAACTCCTCAGCCTCTGGACTCACAGCCCAGCCCCAGGCAAGTGCTTTCACCCCTGTGCATGCCTTGCAAGAACGAGGGCTGGGTTTGAAATGTGGGGAGAAAATGAAGTCATCTACTTGCCTACAAGGGCTCAACCCCGACAAAACACACACACACACACACACACACTCATAAGCACAAACATACACACACTTATACACACAAACACACACACAATCACACACTCACTCACACATACACACTGACATTCACACACCCACAGTCACACACACATACACTCTCACACACACAAATACCCACTCTCACACTCACACAAACTCACATGCACACACTCACTCACACTCACACACACATATACCTACTCTCACACACTCTCATAATCACATACGTCTACACTCACACTCAGGCACACACACACATACTCACACACAAATCAATTGACAAATCATAAATCACGAATCTGTCCCCACACGTCACACGTTCTGCTCAGCTCCTGGGCCCTTCTGCTCTCCTCCACCCCAGGATTGAAAACGGGGCCCCCACCACCTGGTGGCGTCCCCCAGGGTCTCCCAGGTCCGCAGCCCCTTCCTGGGCAGGAGGGAGTCCCTGTCCCAGTGGGAGTCACAGCAGCTATGAAACGGCACCCCCCTTTCTGGGAGAGACCGAGATGGGGTCTGTTCCCCGGGGCGCGACCCCCACCATAGCGGCCTCTCTCCTGGATGCGGGCGTGGGGGTCTAGACACCGGGGGCGTCTCCGGGAGAAGCTGGTGGGAAAACACCAAGTCCTACTTTCCGGGCCGGCTGCCAGGAGCTACTCCTGGCCAGTGCTCTCACCGGATGCAATGACGGTGCCCGCCCACAGGGCATTCTCGATGCTCAGGCTCTCGCTGATGGGTGGGTCGCTGTCCTCCTGGAAGAGACACGGACACGGTCACCACCGTGAAAGGCAGAACGCATGGCAGCTGCCAACCCCGTTCTTCCGAGACTGAGAGGGGTGAATGGGTCAGGGGGGCGCCCCATTCCCGGCCTGCCCACAGGGGCGTCTCCGGGCCCAGGAGACTTCAGACACGAGCCAGAGGCATCAGGGGCACGGCACACGTCAGGAAGCGGGAGAGGAGCAGGTCGGCCCCCGACACCTGGCCTGGTGACCCTGGCACAGAGCTGGGAGCAGCCTCCTGGCACGCTGGGCGTGGCCCCCAAAACACAGGGAAAAACAGAAAAGAAGTGCAGGTCTCGGGGCTGGAGCGATAGCACAGCGGGGAGGGCGTTTGCCTTGCACACGGCCAACCCACGTCCAATCCCCGGCATCCCATAGGGTCCCCCAACCCCACCAGGTGTAATTCCTGAGTGCAGAGCCAGGAGGAACCCCTGAGCATCACTGGGTGTGACCCCAAAAGCCAAAGCTTAAAAAAAAAAAAGCTAGTCTCTAACCTGGGCTGGAGGGATAGCACAGTGGGTAGGACGTTTGCCTTGCACGAGGCCAACCTGGTCGACCCGAGTTCGATTCCTCCGCCCCTCTCGAAGAGCCCGGCAAGCTACCGAGAGTATCTCGCTCGCACAGCAAAGCCTGGCAAGCTACTCTTGACATATTCAATATGCCAAACACAGTCACAACAAGTTTTCACAATGTTACTGGGCCCGCTCGAGCAAATATGCCAAACACAGTAACAACAAGTTTCACAATGTTACGAGCAAATCGTGAACAACAGGAGGACAGTGACAGTGATAGCGAGTCTCTAACCTAGAGCATGAACTCAAATGTAAGAGCGAGGTCAGGAGACCCCCCAGCCAGCCAGCCCACCCGCTGAGAAAGAGGAAGAAGCTTGTCACTGGGGTCTCTATGCACTGTCCTCTGTCCCTAACGCAATTCAGAGCACTCTTAGAATACAACCACATCATCATCACCCACTGGAAACGACGAAACCCAAATTCCAGCGGTACTTGAGATTCCAGTCCTGGCGGCCGCCCCAGCCCAGGAGAGTGGACAGTCCACAGGACGAGCCACTCAGGAGAGTGTCACGGACACGAGCTCCCAGGCGGGCAGTGCGCCCTTCTGAGCACGGCGCAGATGCCAGGGGGAGCACTGGGAGCAGGGGGGAAGGGGTCTGGTGCAGGGAGGTCAGCACCCCCACCCGCCCCCCCCACCCCTGCCCAGCTGCGCTCAGCCGCTCCCACGTACTCTGGTGAAAGTGCCCACGAAGTTGTGGATGTCGATGTTGGGCTCCTCGGCGTAGATGTAGGAGCGGATCTGGAGCAGGTCCTGTCCAGGGGGGGACAAGACACAAGGAGCGTGTGTTGGAGGGCGGGTGGGGGATTTCCGCCCAGGCAGCCAAGCTAGAGCAGGTTCAGCTGCGGCCAGCAGAGGGCGCCAGGAAGAACCTGGGAAGTTGGGGGGGCGGGAAGGGGCGCCCATGACAGTGGTGTCTTGTGGGGGCTTGCCGACTCCCAACATCTGTGAAAGGGCCCATCACTGCGCGCGGCCACGTTACTTGGACCCAGCATGTGTTTGAGGCTCTGGGCACCCCTTCCCCCACCCAATCTGGGTCCAGGCCTCCACACCCAGCTCTGGGGTCCCTCCCTGGAGGTTGCTCACGGCGGCAGTGGGGAGCCTCTGCGTGCAGGCCACTGGCAGCCGCAGTTTCCAGTCCGTCTCCCCGTCCAGCTGGTCCGTCCGCAAGAAGCAAGAGCCTGGGGGGGGAGGGGAGGCTGGGGTCGTCTCCACTTCCTGACCCTGCGGGAAGCCGCCCTCACGGGCTCGCTCAGACTGGCTCTGGTGGTGTAGAGAACCCACAGGGGCTGGCGTGGGGAAGCTGCCCCCCAGGGGTGTCCGGGGGTGCCGGCACCCGGAGCCAGGCTAGGCCGGGTCAGGTGAGGCGACTTCCACGGGCACTGCTGTCCTGAGCCCTGGCTTCCGTGGGCACGAACGCCACGCGCGAGCTCGCCACCGCACTCTCAAGAGAGGTACACAAGGACGCAGGGCAGGGGTCCGGCACCCACACACAGCCCTGGGGTGGCCATGTCCTGCGCCCGGCACCTAGAATAGTGAGAGGGGCCAGACCCCAACAGCCTCCCAGGGGCGCGCTGAGCTCCACCAGGCAGGCGGGGAGGAGGACCCCGACCCAGAGTGCCCGTTTCACAGACGAGGACACGGAGACCAGTCTGAGGACAGCGCAGCAGCTTTTGAAAAAAAAGACTTGTAGGGTCGGAGTGATAGCACAGCAGCGAGGGTGTTTGCCTTGCACATGGCCACCAGAGCATCCCATAGGGTCCCCCGAGCACCGCCAGGAGTGATTCCTGAGTGCAGAGCCAGGAGGAACCCCTGAGCATCGCTGGGTGGGACCCATAAAGCAAAAAAAAAAAAAAAGAAAAGAAAAGAAAAGAAAGAAAGAAAGAAAGAAAAAGAAAGAAGACTTAAAATTGGCTGCCTTTTTTTGGGGGGGAGGGGGGTCACACCCAGCAATGCTCAGGGGATACTCCTGGCTCATGCACTCAGAAATTACTCCTGGTAGTGCTCGGGGACCCTATGGGATGCTGGGAATCGAACCCGGGTTGGCCACGTGCAAGGCAAACGCCCTACCTCCTGCTGTGCTATCACTCCAGCCCCCAAATTGGGTGCCTTTGACCCAGTTTTTTTTTTTTTGCTTTTTGGGTCACACTTGGCGATGCACAGGGGTTACGGGGTTACTCCTGGTTCTGCACTCAGGAGTTACTCCTGGCGGTGCTCAGGGCACCCTATGGGATGCTGGGACTCGAACCCGGGTTGGCCGTGTGCAAGGCAAACGCCCTCCCCACTGTGCTATCTCTCCAGCCCCCTGACCCGCTTCTTAGGAGTACAAAACTTCATCTGTCCTTCTAACTGATTCCTAGTGAAACAGGCCATAATGGGCTCCAAGGCAGACAAGTCTGGGTTTTCCAGGGCTTCGGAGGTGCCTGCGATGAATGGACAGGCATGCAGCTCAACAGGGCAGCCGCCTCATACACGGGTTTCTATCACACAGTGTTTAAACCACTGGCACTGCAAATAAAAACCCAAAATACAGGGCTGGAGCGATAGCACAGCAGGTAGGGCATTTGCCTTGCACGCAGTAGACCCGGGTTCGATCCCCAGCATCCCATATGGTCCCCTGAGCACTGCCAGGAGGAATTCCTGGAGTAACCCCTTTGCACTGCCAGGTGTGACCCAAATAGCAAAAAAAAAAGTCAGGGGACCGGAAAAATGCTACAGCAAGTTAGGCACTTCCCTTGCATTTAGCCAACTGGGTTCAAGCCCCAGAATCTCTATCAGGTTTCCCGAGTACCTCCAGGGGCTGAGCAGAGGCAGGAGTAAGCCCAGAGCACTGCTGGGAGGATCCCCAAATCGAATTTGTCCCCTCCCCCACAGACAGTCCTATTTCCTCAGAAGCTTCAGTTAAAAAAAAAAATCAGAAGAGACGGGGGATGTGATGGGGGCAGCCACCAAGGATACAATGGCGGTCATCGGGGTCTCCGAGACTGGGGCAGAGCGTGGCAAGACACCATCACCCCCTCCTCAGAGCCCCCCCCATATTCTCAGGGGAAACACACACACCCTGTCCACATGGGGGCATTCCTGGCCGCTCAGCCGCCGAGTGTCTGGGGGGGGGGGGGGCAGCCATCCCCAGGCCCGCCACCCCCAAACCGGCTCCTTAAAGAAGATGTTTTTCATTCGCCTCCGTGGCTCCGAAAGTGATCGTCTCACTTCTGTTCCATTTTCGAATGATTATTTTGCCAAATTACCACTGAAAGGTTAATGGTTATTTTCGAAATGGATCCCAGATGTTTACCGTTTTTTTCCGACGTCCTCAGGAAGATCATGTCGGCAGGAACCCGCTGGTTCTGGGTGAGGGAAAGAAAGAAGGTTACTGTGTGGGGTGTCCGCTAGCCCCAGCCCCAGCCCTTGGGAGGGGGGTGTAGGGGGGAGGCAGGGGGGTGGCAGGGATGGGGGGTGGCGGGTGACACAAGCCCCAGGCCTCTTCAAGACCTTGTCCCAGCGGGGGGTTTACTCTGTGGTGAATCTCCCAGGTCCTGCTAATCCCCTACTGAAACCTTAAATCAGAAGAGCACTGGGCTGACGGCTCCCGTTCTTCCCTCCCCGGCCCTCCCTCCCTCTCTCCCTCCCTCCCTCCCTCTGCAGGGCCTGTCCACACCCTGGCCAGCTTCTCTGCTGGCACCCGGGGCATGAACAGGTGACCCCTCCCGCTTTCTGCTCGACCCACTTTCCGGCCACCCGCCTTGAATTATGAGCTGCCAAGTCTGCCAGAACACGGCGGGGGCAGGGGCTTGTCTGAGCGTCATTTCAAATCAAAGCTGCGTTTTCTTGCGTTTAATCCTCTTGGAAGAGCTCAGCTGACACACGACTTTCAACACGATTCTTTTTTCTTTTTTTTTTTTTCTCAATCAAATATGATTCTGAAGCTCTCCGGGGCCTCTGTCAAAACTCAACGCCTTCCCGAGACCCCAGGAGAGCTGACTGCAGCGACAGACTTATCAACACGGTGACCTTTGGGAGCCATTTTTACTGTTCCCCTAGAGAACCTTTCATCCCAAAATTCCTCAAAGTGACAGAAGAGCCCAACGTTGAAACTAACGCCTCCCAGGCCACAGATACTGTTCCAGAGGTGAGTGGTTAAGTTTTGCGGCTTTTGTGGTTTCCGTTGCAACACTGTGTATGTTTTCAGGGTGTCAAAACTAGATTAAGTGCCTAGGAAGCAAGCAGATGGCTAGGGAAGACTTTCATTTTTCTTTTCTTTATTTTTTTTTTGTTTTCCTTTTTGAATCACACCCGACAATGCACAGGGGTTCCTCCTGGCTCTGCACTCAGGAATCACTCCTGGCGGTGCTCGGAGGACCCTATGGGATGCTGGGAATCGAACCCGGGTTGGCCGCGTGCAAGGCAAAAGCCCTACCTGTTGTGCTATCGCTCCAGCCCCTAGGGAAGACTTTCTAACAAGTTTCAAACAAACGAAAACCTCAAAACAGCAGGTCCCTCCACTGAGGAACCAAGTGCATGGCTGTGTTGGAACGCAGGAAGGGGCTAACTCAGGGTACTGTTTGGACAAAGTGTTTTGTGGGTGTCTCAGAGGCAAAAGCTTTTTGTTCCGGATAAGTGTGAGCTGCGGAGGACCAGAGATGCTCAGGGCTTCTCAGGGCTCAGGCCCAGCTGGATCCCCTGAACCAAGTATGATTTCCACCCCGGCACACTGGGAGTGATTCCTGAGCGCAGAACCAAGAGTCAGGCCTGAGGATGACCACCAGACGTGGCCTCAAAACAAAACAGAACAACAACTACAAAAAAAAGCCAAAAGCCTGTAGGACAGTGCTGGAGCGTGGGGCGGACGGCAGGGAGGACACTTGCCTTGTGTGTGCCTGACCCATCTCCCGGCGCCACATATGCCAGGAGCGATCCCTGAGCACAGAACCAGGAGTAAGGCCCGAGCACTAGCGGCTGTGGCCCCCAAAAACTGAAAACCAAACAAAATCTGTGTAACACATTTTCTGAGAACAATGCCTCTGTCACACACAATCAGATCCTCCATCAGATGCCAGACCTCATGGTAGGGTCCTGGCCAGGTGGTCAGAGCGGCATCTGCGTGCACAAACACACACACACACACAGACACGCACACATGCACTCACAGCCCCCAAGGCCTGCATAAGAACCCACCCACTTCAGAGCATCATTTGCACACACATACCCCAGGCGGTTAGAAAGCCATCTACACACACAGACACACACAGGACCTAAGACCCAAATAAGAACCCATCCACATTAGAGCACCATCTGTGCGCGTGCACACATACACACGCACACATGCACACACACACACACACATCAGGTGGCCAGAGAACCATCTGCACACACACACACACACACACACACACACCCCAGGTGGCCAGAGAACCACCTGTACACACACACACACACACACACACACACACACACACACACTCCAGGTAGCCAGAGAACCATCTGTACACACACACACACACACACCCCGCATGTGGCCAGAGAACCATCTGTACACACACACACACACACACACACACACACACACACACCAGGTGGCCAGAGAACCATCTGCACACAGCACACACACACACATGCATACATACACACGCACATACACACCAGGTGGCCAGGGAACCATCTGCGGGAGCGTGCACGCACGCGCACACACACACCCACACAGCCCCGGGGCCCCTACAGGCACCCCCCCCCCACTCACCTTCTCCACAATGATGAGATCTCCCACCTGGATGTTGCAGCTCTTCACCTTCACCGTCCCTGCAAAGCAACGGGCCAGCACGTGAGGCCGGAATTCACGGCCACCGACCCAGGAAACCCACTGGCGGCATTAACCCCGCTGCCGCCCCAAGCCAGATCACGGCGAGTCCTGCTCCCGCACCGGTCACTCACGTCCCTAAGGAAGATCTGCAGGCTCCCTGGGCAGCCTCTCTAAATGGCATTACAGAGACTTGGCCTCGGGGGCCAGAGAGAAAGCTCAGTGGGCAGGGCACTTCCCTGCATGCGGCCAGCCTGGGTTTGATCCCCGGCTCCCATAGGTCCGTTCCCTCACCCCACCCCACCCCCGTCAGGAGTGGTTCTGAGCATAAAGCCAGGAACAACTCCTGAGTACCCCTGAGTGTGGGCCCCAAAATAACAAAAAAAAAAAAAAAAGAGAGAGAGAGAGAGAGAGAAACTCAGATTCAAAAACAATCAAAACAGAGAAGGACAAACAAAGGGGGAACAGACCCCTCCTGAGAATTTGCTCAATTTTTAACACCTCCCCAAAAAGAAAGGGGTTCATCCTGAATGGCTGGAGTTTCCCCCTAGCAAGGATTCTGACTCGTCCATACTGCCATGTACAGGACTTTCTGTTCATCCGTCTGTCTTGCGTCCTTCCCACTCTCCGGTTGGCAGGTGAAGGGTCAGAGTGGAGCGGGTCTCTCCCCAAACCCACAGGAAGAACGGGCCGGGGGCAGGGTTCACCACCCACTGGGGCCAGAGGATGGGGTCATTCAGTGAGTTGGGTTCGACGCAGGAAAGACCGAGAGTTGGTCCTGGGGCTTCCACTCCACCCCCCCATGAGCAGCGTGTCCTGCAGGGGCCAGCCCACGGGAGTGAGGCTCAAGGTGGAGGCTGGCAAGACAGTACAACAGGGAAGACATCACGCTGCACACGGCTGACCTGGATTCGAACCCCGGCACCACATATGGCCAGCTGAGCTCACCAGGAGTGAGTCCCCCTGGGCACAGAGCCAAAAGTCAGCCCTGAGCACCACCCTTTAAAAAAAAAGAATCCCGGGGCTGGAGCAATAGCACAGCGGGTAGGGCGTTTGCTTTGCACACGGCCGACCCGGGTTCGATTCCCAGCATCCCATAGGGTCCCCCGAGCACTGCCAGGAGTAACCCCTATGCATCGCCAGGTGTGATCCAAAAAGGAAAAAAAAAGTACGTAAAAGTAGGTTTTGGGGAGAAAATACAGCCGGTTACATGCTTGCTTTGCATGCAACAGACCCAGGGTTGATCCTCTGTACCCCATATGATCCTCTGTGCCCTGCCACTAGTGATCCCTGAGGCAGACTCAGAAGTAAGCATTGGTGGGGGGCTGGAGTGATAGCACAGCAGGTAGGGTGTTTGCCTTGCACGAGGCCGACCTGAGTTCGATTCCCAGCATCCCAAAGGGTCCCCTGAGCACCGCCAGGAGTAACTCCTGAGTGCAGCAGAGCCAGAAGTAACCCCTGTGCATCACCAGGTGTGACCCAAAAAGAAAGAAAGAAAGAAGAAAGAAAGAAAGAAAGAAAGAAAGAAAGAAGCCAGCCCACCACAGCCAGGACCAAGAAGAGCTGAGCACAAGAGGCCGAGCTTCGGCTTGGAAGCCGGCAGCACATGCTGGGGGAAAAGCAGCTCAGATAGAGAAGGGAGCACCAAGTAAAGGGTGTTTGGAGGACTCGCTCGGGATGCGAGACGTGTGCTGAAAGTAGACTACAGACCGAACACGATGGCCACTCAATACCCCTCTTGCAAACCACAACACCCTAAAGGAAAGAGAGCGCAAAAGGGAATGCCCTGCCACAAGGTGGGATGGGGCAGGGAGGTGGGAGGGCTACTGGGATCAGTGGTGGTGGGAAATGGGCACTGGTGGAGGGGTGGGTACTCGATCATTGTATGACTGAAACCCAAGCACGAAAGTTTGTAAGTCTACAACTGTACTTCAAGGTGTTTCACTAATAAAAAAAATAAAAATAAAAAAGAAGAATAGAAAGAGCTATGCTTAGAATATCACGCTTCACTCAAATGAGAGAAAGAATCCGGAGTTCCGACATCCGTCGACGATCAAGGATCAGGGACGCTGTCTCATTTGCCAAGGTGTCGAAAATCAGATGGGCTGGTCACGTAATGAGATTTAAAGACGACCGCTGGACTAGAGCCGTTACCGACTGGATTCCACGGGATGCCAAAAGACCGCGTGGCCGCCCACCTACCAGATGGTCAGACTTCTTCGTCAAGATCATGAACGATCGGTTTGAGGCCCTTCCTGTTCCCGGAGCGAACAGATGCCATTGGGCTACACTACCACGCGACAGGGACAAATGGAGACGTTACTGGCGCCCGCTCGAGCAAATCGACGGCTAACGGGAAGTTAAGTGATTAAGTGATAAGCGAAAAATAAAAAGAGGCCGTGTCTTCCATTCCAACGACTGGAACTCCCACCCCAAAGGCTAATGAACGGTCTTCGTATTTTTCTTTTACATTGGGGGTGTCTGCCCAGAGGTACTGGGGGTCTGGGCCATTTGCATCCGGCGCATCTCCCAGCGCCTGCACTTGGCTTGTGTAGGAAAGTGTGCCCAGCCCCAGGCCCAGACCAGCCACGGGAGCAGGGGGGCCTGCAGACATGTGTGATCGCGTGTGTGCATGACAGTGCTGCCCATGAGCATGCAAGCATGAGCATGTATGTGTGAGCATATGTGAAAGCAGGAGCAAGTGTGAAAGTGTGCAAGCCATGCATGAGAGCATGATGAGCACGTGTGCAAGCGTGTGTGTGTGCATGCATGAAAGAGCATGCTTGGGAGACTGTGTGAGCACGTGCACACAAGAGCATGCCTGCAAGAGGGCATGGGCGCATGAGAGCATGGAACTGTGTGCCTGAGCGTGCATGGGTGCATGAGAGCATGGAACTGTGTGCCTGAGCGTGCATGTGTGAGCATGTGAGCACGAGTGAGTGAGCATGCGAGTGTTCAGGCAGGCCCTGAGAGGAGGTGGCCTGTGTTCCAGGGAGGGCCGGAAGTTGACGCCAAGGACCCGAGTCCAGGCATTGCCTAGGGGGCCCCGGCATTGCATGGTCCCTGAGCACTGCTGGGAGTCACCCCAAGTCTGGGGCAGCACCCCTCTGGGTTTGGCCCCAAAACAAACAACAGCAAAACTCTCCCCTGTGGGAGCCTCCATGATCGTCACACTCTGGGCCTCTGTTTAGTAAATCCACTGAACTCAACAACGCAAGGGGCCACAAGAGTCAGTCATTAAGATTCCGGGCACGGATCAGGGCCACGCATGTCGTGGGATCTGTGCGTGCCCGCTCTCTCACGCGAACGTGCCTCCGTGTCTCCAGCTTTGGAGAGAGGCACGAATGAAGCCACCAAGCAAACACGGGGCTGTCCTGGTGCCATCGTCTCCCTGCACTTCCCCATCGCTGACGCGTGTCTTCCTAGTGATTCGGCACCACTGAGAATTCCCAAGGCATCCCGACCACTGCCACGGAAGCAGCTCCAGCTGGGTCTGGTTTGAGCTAACGTGTGTACAAATAAACACTGTCGCAAGAACACACAGAGCTAAGGACGCCTGCAAAGACGCAGCAACAGCTGCAAAGCGGGACCTGCCCCCGGCTCCCAGGGGTGACAGCCACCGAGCTCAAGAATCTCACCCTACTGAGGCTGGCGCAATAGCATAGCAGGTAGGGCATTCACCTTGCACGCGGCTGACCCGGGTTCGATTCCCAGCATCCCAGAGGGTCCCCCGAGCACTGCCAGGAGTAATTCCTGAGTGCAGAGCCAGAAGTGACCCCTGAGCATCACCAGGTGTGACCCAAAAAGCAAAAAAAAAAAAAAAATTTTTTTAAATGAATGAATCCCTGCGGCGGGCGTTAAGACGACTTTCCCCCAGAAGCAGAGAAGTCAGAAATGAAGAGATTCAACACTTAATGAGAAACAAAGCTTTGGCCCAAATGCTTTGACTGACAGCAGGGGAATGTTTGAGAGCACGTTTCCGGCTGTCCGGGCTGAGCCAGATGCTGGCGCTTGGCTGTTCCGTGAGTCTCAATCAGGACACGTCTCTCTTGCAAACGGGTGCATCACGGCGCAGGAGGGCGCAAACAGGGCTCTGACTCTTGCCTCACACGCGGCCAACCTGGTGAGCCCCGGCACCCACATCCAGTCCCCTGGCCCTCCAGGAGTGATCCCTGAGCACTGGGCCCGGGAGTCAGCCCTGAGCACTGGCAGGTGCAGCTCAAAACCAAAATCCGAAACCAAATGGGTGAATCTTCTTCCTAAGAAGCCCCTGGGGGGAAGGGGGGAGGAAATGGAAGCTCTGCTGAGAATTCCAAGAATTCCAAGTTCTCTTCCTGCTGAGCCAGGAGGTGGCATCAGGAGAGGCAAGCACCCATCTCTTGGGTCCTTCCTGGACAGGCCGGCAGGCGGGTCCCTGCACCCACAGGTCTCTTCACCTACCCCAGCATCAAGTGAGACACGGTCCTGGCCCGGAGGAAACTGCAGGCCCTGCCAAACCAGCACCACTCCCAACTCAGACTAGTCCAAGAACTCAGTCACTCACTCACTTGCACGCGTTCACGCACTCACTCTCTTTCTCTCTCTCTCTCTCTCTCTCTCTCTCTCTCTCTCTCTCTCTCTCTCTCTCTCGCTCACTCTCCATTTTATTTTATTTTATTTTTGCTTTTTGGGTCACACCCAGCGAAGCACAGGGGTTACTCCGGGCTCTGCACTCAGGAATTACCCCTGGCAGTTCTCAAGGGAACATATGGGATGCTGGGAATCGAACCCGGATTGGCCGTGTGCAAGGCAAACACCCTACATGCTGTGCTACTGCTCCAGCCCCTCTCTCTCCTTTTTAAATTTTAGGCCACACCCAGCAATTACTCCTGGCTCTGCAGGAATTACTCCTGCTGGCTGTTGGGTACCATATGGGATGCCGATGCCGGGCACCATCCAAGGCCAACGCCCTTCCCGTTGTACTGCCTCGCCGGCCGCGGTACAGGATTCCTGAAGGAAGCGT